ATTTCATCAAAATAATCTTGAGTAGAATCATAACAATTTGAAGCACCACAGAAATATAGTCTGTTCAGATTTTGAATGTCAACCAGCTAACTCCGCCCCTGCTGAGACAGTAGCTTTTTCGCGTCGATGTTTTTACCGCGCGGGACTAATTTTGATCTTTTTTGATCCAAAAGATAGAAAATGAAGTCAAAAATGCAGCTTTATTAAAGGGCCATCGTCATCTGTAGATAAAACATTGACGCGAAAGATATTGTAGCCTTGGGGGTGGAGTTAGCTGCTTGACATTCAAAATCTGAACAGACTATATCAAAACGATCAAAATTTACCATCAGGACTTTAGTGCGGTTGGACTGGGTTCAGCAGGTGCCGCAGACGTTTCAGGTACTTCTAAAATTGGTTTTTTCATGACAATTTAAAGATGGAAAAAGCCGTTTTTTTTCCCAGACTTATTTTCTTCACAAGCCTCTATAAATCAATAATATTCCCATCATTTTTTGTACCAACTATGTGATCGCCATGTTCAAGTTACTCATACACGGCTCGAAAACCTCCGATGAACAAAAAAATAATATAATTTAGACTTTTTAAAAAAAACCCTTAAAAATCTTCAAACTTTTAATTTATTATTGGCTGTTTCTTCTTTTTTTTTTCAGAGCCTCCTCGCTTCACACGGCGTTATTTTTTTGGCACGCCTATATTTTTTCCGTAAAATGTAGTGTATCGCGTGCATACACTGCGGCGCTCTAACACACGTTTAAAAAAACAGAAAAATCGCGTTTTTAAATGAGAAAAAGATTCGTCTCAAAACCCTTTAATATTTCCTGTTGTTTACGCGTTTTTCCCATGACGTCACATGGGAACGGCGAAGGTTTTGACCACGCCCCTTAATTTTTGGTTCTGCATTTTTCTTCCACTAACCAAAACGTCGTGTTCAAGTTCTTGAAAAAGCACATTTTGTCAATTTTCTAGTAAAATAAATTTTTATCATTGTTCTCTAAATTTCTCTTTTTACAATGATGAAACATCCAACACCACTGAAGAGCTTATTTGAATCAATAAAAATTTTTTTCTTCATGTTCTACGATATTTTTCTTCTTCTTAGTACTCCTATTCACCTTCGTTTTCCTCCTTTTCAACTTTTCTTCGGAGTTTGTCCCGAGACAGCAGCCAAGGGAGACTGAGAAGACGGCTCGAGTTGTGGCTGGGGACTCCCGGGGGCGCTGGCCGTGCCCGCCACCGTCAGAGTTCCATGGCCCGAGTCAGAAGACTGCCGCGAGAAGCGCGACATCGCGTCCATCGTCAGCTTCTCCTCTTCGCGGATCTGAGGAGAATGGAGTTGATTTGATCGAAAAAATACTGCAACTTTCTATGAAATATGGTAAAATACGGTCAACCGAGCGCAAGAAACTGTTAAGCTTTTAGTCAAGCTTAAAAATATTCAATTTCGTTATAAAGAAGCCAAAAAAATTGCAATTCAATCTTATTGACTTCTTTACAAAAACATTTCGGGAAAAAATTTGAAACTACTTATTTCCCATTTATCGGGGCTGCTTTCAAACGACAATACGCAGAAAAAAATTGAAGATTTCAGTTCATTTTTTTGAATTTTTGCTCCTGATTTTATGAAACGAACCGTTTGATGAAGCCGCTTGTACTCCTCGCTGGGGAAGCTAGTCGCGATTCTGCTGAACTCCGAGACCAGCTCAGCTTCTTCACTTAAAAACAAACTTTTTATAGAAAATACATTTTATTACAAAACTAACACAGTGACCCTCCGTTCTAACTGGTCGATTTTGCTGAAAAGCTGCTGTTGTTCGTCCATCAATAACTTGACGCGATCCAGGGCGCTTTCGATCATGTTTATGGCCTGTAAAAACTGTTGGTTTGAAAAAAGTTTTTTGTTGAGCTCTAACAAAAGTTGCGGTGCACCCCACATCGAACTCCCCCGCAGTGTAATCAGGGGGTGCACCCCGTTTAGCTTTAAATGCCTATTAAGGTACTTTTTCCGTACAGAAGCGGTTTGTTTCCCAATATCACCATTTTCTACCGTTTCAGGCTGGGTCGTTTCGGTAGCTAAAAAAAGTTTTATTTCTGACCGGTCACCCCATTCAGGTTCAACGCAGGGGTGCAGCGCAAAACATTAACGAAAAGATCACTTTTTTTCGAGGCCCCATTTTTTTTAGAAAATCATCCCGAAAAGGAAAAAAATTTTTATTGATCTTTAGGCCTCAAAAGTTGAAATTTTCTACACAAAATGATTTGTAAAAACTTTATAAGTGTTGGAAATGTTCAAATTCTTATTTAGAAAAAGAAGTTATTACGCATCTCAAAAAGAAAATCTTCACATTATTAACCTTACAATCAAATAAAAAAATCTGTTCTTTTTATAAAAAAATATTCGTAAGAAATCCTTTTCACTCTCTCATTGTATTTGTCGTGCAAATCTAAAAATACCTGATTACAAGCGCAATTGGCTGCATTCAAGGGAGGCGCCAGCTGTCCCGAAGTGTAGGCTTCGAATTCGCTCCGCTCCATTTTCAGGCTGTTATGATTCATGTCCTGCACGAATTGGAGAGCACACGAGAGATTCGTGAAGAAATACGCTAAATATATCGATTTTTTCATTGATTTTCATTCGAAACGGACCAGATTCCCCGCTCATGACCCTAGAAGGCAGGGCGAAACGGCTGATGAACTTGACATTTGACTGGATCAACGGCGGATTTCCGCGCAGCAAAATGAAGATTAGAACTGGCAAGAATTCGTCGGCAGAAGTTGGGGCTCCTGGAAAAGGTTCTTGAAGGATGGGAAGCATACGTCGGCTGGATGATCTATAAAAATTTCGATGAAAATTTCGTCGGCTGGATCCCACCCCGGGGTGCGGCCTAACCCCTCAAACCGCGCCCCCCTATCAATGTTCTACTTTTTTTGGCTCAAAGTTTCTCATCAAAAAAATGTGAAAAATCGAACCGCTTTCACTCAGAGCCGAGAAAATGAAATGTGAACATCGAACAAGGCAATTCAACTTCTCCTCCGTCGATCTTCTGCCATTCAACTCGATAATCTCTCCGATCGCCTCGTCCAATCGGTCACGGACCTGAGAAATATGTCGATCTTGATAGTATTGATATTGTTGGTCGCAGGCGAATCGAGAGGGTACCACAAAGTGTCCACAAAGGTATCTCTTAAAATGGGTCGTGAGGCCTCCAGAATACCTTTTAGCTGAATCTGAGTCATCTCGGAGGTACTTCAGAGTCTCTCTCATTTTGCTCAAAACCCTCAGAGGTACCATCGTGAGGCTTCAGAGCCTGCGATATACCTCAGAGGATCTCGCGATACCCTTTCTCGATTCGCCTATGGTGGTAATAAAAAACTATTTCAAAATCTTCTTCCTCAACACAATAAAAAAGTGCCCAATAATTGAATTCTTTACCTTCGCCGAAAATTAAGTTGATTTTATTCAAATGAATGGTAGTTTCCGAAAATATTAAGGAACCTAAAATCGATCGCGACCCAGAGAAAAATGTATAATTCGGAACTAAGATATTCACTCTTATCGATAAAGGTACTCTTTCAAACGTTAAAAAAATTCGCCTTTCTAAAACTTCGTTTTTCAAAAATCTGTTTTTCAGCTAAATGCTCATTATATTCATAATTCAACACCGCTCTGAAAAAAAGGTTTTTCCGAAATATCCTTTCCCAGCCAACTAAAGAAGGGCAACGCATAAAAAAAGCTGTGAAAAAAATTCATTTTTTAGAAGTCTTTTTCACTGTTTCTCTCTTCAAAAAGTTTCAAGAAGATTAAAAAAACCTATTTTATTCAAATTTAATATGTTATGTTTTTCACTGCCAACGAACCGGCTGCTTTTTGAAGTCCAGCCGAGTTTCCAAGAATCCGGCGGTAACCCAGTGCAAGGATCTGATCCTGTCTTGTAGAGATTCGTCGGCAACTTCCTCGTCCGAGCTGAAAAAAAGCATAATTTTTAACCTACAATTTTTTTAAAAACTGAATCAAGTAAATTCTCGGGCAAAGTCGGAAGGTTGGATAATGGACTCTAAAAAGGGAAAGGCTGCAAAAAGGTCGCAGAAAGGTCGCAGAAAGGCGGCAGAAAGGCTGCAAAAAGGTCGCAGAAAGGTCGCAGAAAGGCCGAAGAATAGCAGCAAAAAGGGTCCCTTTATCAAGCCTCCCATTTTTCTGGGATTTTAAAGGTTCAAGAAATGGTGGAAAAAGGAAAAGGCAGCAAAAATGGTGCATAATAGCCTATGAAATGGCGCAAAAAGGCAGCAAAAAAAGAGATTTTTTCCCACCGACTTTTCCCATGTTTTTTTCATTTTTACAATGAAATCAAGTCTTTCAAAAAACCTAAAAATCCATTTATTTCAAAAAAGGGTCCCTTTATGAAAGGTTCATTCAAAAAAGGGTCCCTTTATGAAAAGTTCATTCAAAGAAGGGTCCTTTCAAAATTTTCCCTGAAAACCCATTTCCTTGACTTACAACTTTAATGATTCACCTGGCGCAGAACAATTGGGGATAGCAGCAGGTGCAAATATACTTCTCGATCTCCTCCATCACATCTTGCGGCTTCACCTGGCATTCTGCAAACTCATTATGTTATTTATATGAACTAATATGCAAATTAGATCCGAAAAACCCACTTTCATGATCGAAAAACGGCGAATTGTTGAGTTTATCGAACATGTATTGGTAGAAGCCTTGAACGGAGACCGACAAATCTTCGGGCGCCACTCGGAGCTTTAAAAATATAGATTTCGATCTTGAAAAACAAAAAAATGCGTAGTAAAAAAAGATTTTTTTGCTGCTGAAAAATTTTTTTTTCAAAAAAATTTAAAAATGGTCTCTGACAGGGGTGGTCATTTTCTTTTTGCGGTTGGGGATTTCTTGAAAATTGGCCAGAACACTCCTTGTTGTACCAGAAGGAGATTCTGGAAGTCTCAACCTGCAAAACTTCCTAGTTTTCGAGAAATAAGAACTCAAAATAGCTTTTTTTTAAATTGGTTTTGAAATTTTTTTCGACTTTCAGGCGTCTTTTATTAAAAAAATAGGAAGTTGTGCAGGTTGGGAATTCCAGAATTACCTTCAAGGAGTGCCGATTTTCAGGAAATTTCCGAACACAAAGTAAAATTACCTTCCCTGCAAGCAGGCTCGTGCGTCAGGCCAGGCGGCCCGGCCCAAAATTTCATTCAAAAAATTTTTCACCGAAATTTTACTTTTACTTTTGAAATGATAGTTTTTGTTAAACTTTAAATGAAAAAAATGAGCAAAAAAACGTAATTTTTGTCGTAAAAAAAGCTTGATATCCGACTAGATAAAAATTGCGCGTTTTGGGGCCGGGCGGGCCATTTTTTTCTTGAGGCCTCCGCTAAGGCCGTGCCGGGCCAAGCTAACAAAATGGTCAGGGGGCCGGGAGGCTGACGGGCCGGCCCTCGCACAAGCCTGCCTGCCAGGATGTGGAAACAGTGAAAAATGATCAACATAAAAATGACTTCGAAAAATGGGAATCTTTCAAGAATGATAAAAAGCTAGTAAATAATAGAGATGATTCAGATCAATCTGGGAGTTTTACAAGGTTTTGAGATGGGTACTGGCAGAAGGGTCCATTCTATTACATGGCATCGACTGAAACTAATAAAGTTCGTCATTTTAAAACGTCCCGAAACGTATATTCCATTGTTAGAAGAGCCAAAAAATGAAGAAAGAATAAAAATGAAGTTGTCATACGTAGAAATAAAGTAAAAGTTAAGTTTTCATACGTGAAAGCCCACTTTCTGAACAAAAATCAACGAATAGAACATTTTCCACTTAAAAACTGAACTAGAACGTGAAAATTCCTCTTTTTAGACTTTTAAAATTATCCAGTCTGTCTTTGAGCGAAATAAACATTTCATTCAGTCACAGAAATCGCAGGATAGGCAAATTTTCAGGCTTTCCTTGAAGTAACCTCCCTTGTTAGCCTTCATTTTTCACTCTCTCAGAGTCAGTTTTATTTTTTTCTGAAAAACCCTTCAAATGCGAAATTTGATTTTTAACTAATTTTCAAGTTTTTTTATCAAACTTCTAAACTCAATTTTTTTAAGAAAAGCTGAAGCTTCAAGCGCTATTAGAATAGTTTACATTACCAAAATTTTTAATCGGAATTGAGATTCCCTTTAAAAAAACTTCGCTTTTCGAAAAAATATTTTTTTAGTTGATTTAGGCTACAAAAGTCCTAAAAAGCCCGAAATTTTGCAAAAAGTTATTTTTGTGTTGATTTTCGTTATTAGAACCCCAAAGTATACCTCGAAAATCTTGTTAACGGCATGCTTGACCTGTCTCGTGACTTCTTGAACAATCGAAGTTGGCAAATTCGAGACCAAAAAGTCGGTGAGAGCTTCTCGAGCGGCTCGAGATTCCGGTGAAAGCTCACGTCGTCTGAAAAAAATTACCGATTTTTGTGAACTCAAGCTAAAAATCGGTAATCTTCGGATTAACTTCCCCCCAAAAAAAAAAATGGAACCACGGAAAAGGCCATTTTTTTTCTTAATGTGGTTCAATGCTTCCGACACGGCGTTTCCAAACGTCAAAAAAAAAAGATTTGGCGCGAAAATTCAAATCTCAAGTACGCAGCCAAAGGCGATCGAACAAACAAGTTATTAACGTTAGATACTCAGTGTATGACGTCATTTTATCAGCTTACTTTTTTTTTGTAGAAACTTTGACGCCTCGCTCAGCTACCCTCACCCCATTAGGAATGACATTTTCTTTTTTTCCAGAAATTTTAAGGTTTTCTATGTCCTTTAAAATGAACTTTATTCAATGCCAGAAATTGATAAAATTATTGAAAAAAATAAATTTTTCTGGACATTTTTGGCCTAATTGTTAACTGATTAAGTACTGATCCAAGTATTATTTTTCCCCTCCATTTCTTCAAAATCGCGCCAAAAACCCCTCAAACTTTCTTCCCCTTTTTTATTTTATTATTCCAAAGGTCTCGAAGAAGCTTTCGCGGCATAAATAATTTACAATCAGCAGCTTTTTTCTCTCACGGAAATCTTGAGAAAGTTGAGTAGGAAAACCTTTCCTCTGTGCATTTTGTAGTCTACAAACGCTCAAAACTACAAAAAATTAATTGGGGGATTAGAAATTATTCCCAGGTAGAAAAAAGGTTATTCCACACTTAATAACCTGGTTGGTTTGTACTTCATTTTCTAATGAAAAATATTAATTTTCATCTAAATTACAATGCCAAATGATGTGCAGAAAACGGGTGCAAAATGGCCGCTGAAAGGATTTCGTTTTGTGGCCTTTATTGAGCTCGACTAGTTTCAAAAAAGGGTGAAAAAAGGGTGCTGAAAGTCTCGTCCATTGATAATATCCGATTTTATTACCACAGCACATTTTGGTTCATACAGTCACTGGTAAATATTATTCTCAATTTAAAACATTTTGTGTTTCTCAAAAGGGTCCAAAAAGGGTGGATAAAGGCCGATGAAAGGACGGAAAAAGGCAGTAAAAAGGAAACCGTTGCCACCCGTTTAGGAAAAATTCATGGATACAGACTGATCCATAACGGACGCACAAGGGGCCCGTAAAGGGTCCTTCCGACTTTGCCTATGATTTTTTCGCATCCAAAAATATTTCCACCATAGGCAAAGTTGGAAAAACTCTTCACGGGCCATTTGAGGGTCCGTTATGGATCAGTCTGTTTCCATTAATTGTTCCTAAACGGGTGACAACGGTTTCCTTTTTACTGCCTTTTTCCGTCCTTTCATCGGCCTTTATCCAGCTTTTTTGGACCCTTTTGAAAAATAAAAACTTTTTTTCAAATTGAGAATAATTTTTACAAGGGACTGTGTATGAACCAAAATATGCTACGGTAATAAAATCGGAAATCATCAGTAGCAGAGTCTTTCAGAGCCCTTTCGCACCCTCACTCTTTCTTCACCCCTTTTGCAGCCTCTCTCTTTTTTTTGACTCTTTTTAGCCCACCAAGAAAGAAAGGTTCAATAAAGGTCGTAAAAAGGGACCCTTTTAGCGGCCATTTTGCAGTCACTCCCTTTTTCAACAGATTTCAATTGTAAGGCTCTCTTTGAAGGTTCAATACTTTTTTTTTCCAGCTTCTGACTTTTCCTTCAATTCATCATACAATCTTCCAAACTACTATTCACCCTCATTTTTTCTCAAAACCCCTTTCCAGAAAAACAAGGCTCTTCAAACTGAAAAAAGGGCCAAAAATATTGGTCCAAGGGGGCACGGAAAAGCACGTCAAACGATGCCCAAAACATCAACAACAAAGAAAAGCGTCGTCCTACGAAATATACGGATATATTGTCCCTCTCTCACCGTTTAATCAAGGCCTAATGAACTTTTGGATTGGATAAAGTTCCTTCGAAGGACATTGAAAGCTTTGGAATGTCCTGGAGAACGGAAAATAGAATATTTTTCTCGAAAAATTCACAGGAAATTCGAAGAGCCTTGAAATTCTTCAAAATATCAGAAAATGGGGAAATCCACTCTACTTATCCAACACTTAAAATAACCGCAAAATTGAATTTTTATTGTTTACGGAGTCCTTGCCACTCTTCATTTATTCAAGCCCTAATGAACTTTTAGATTGGATAAAGTTCATTCAAAGAACATTGAAAGCCTTGGAATGTCCTGGCTAATGAAAAATTAAATATTTTCCTCGAAAAATCAAAAAATCTCCTATCCCTTCAACCTCTCCAACATTTATCAATAATCCATTTTAACATTTTTAAATATCCCAGCCTCGCTGTTTTCTAACGATTCTCGATGGAGATAACGTGCTGTGAAAAGCTGAAGTGGGTCCTAAAGAGGTTTTTGGATTTTAGGGGGTCCCATAGTGACCTCTGTAGGGGTTTTTTCTTGCTCCCTATAAGGCCCACTTCAGCTTAGCTTGTAGACGTAATAATTCGAAAAAAATTAATCAAAAAAATTTTGTGCATTTTTTAAATCCGATTCAAAAAGGTCTTTTTAGTTTCACAATGCTCTATATTGATAAAAATGCATCACAAACAATTGATTTTGAAACTTAACCCTTTGAAAAAAAAAGTTGAGACTTTCCCCCTCCAAAAAGGTCTAGAGTTACTGGACGAACATGGAAACTTGATACATTTTTGCGGTTTATGGAAAGTTTCCAATCGAAAGTTTTTTGGATCAAAGTACTGAACAAGAGTTCCGAGTGGTCCCTAGAGAGGTTATGCAAAAAACAGCCCCTATAGGGGCCAAAAAAGTGGTCCCTATAGTGGTAAAGTGGTCCTTATAGGAGTTTAAGGCTTGACCCCTTAGCCCCTAAAGCTCAAGTGGACCCTATAGGGGTCTCTCAATTTTATTCGAAAACGCGTATTTATTCAGTTTTTCCCCATGGAAATGCTACTTCGCTTTGAGTTCATAACAATTATCGACCAGAATGTTCCCTATAGGGATCACTTTTGCAAGCTTTAGTGGCCCCTATAGGGGTATTTGAAGTGGTCCCTAGAAGGTCCCTAAGGTTGTCTCTACACGGACCACTCTTCTGGAGATCCTAGGATATATTATGTCCCCCATAGGGGCCACTAAATAAAACCCCTCTGAGGTTACTTTTGCAAGCTTTAGTGGCCCCTATAGGGGTTGGACTCATTTCAAAACCCTCTTCTCTTTTTCAAATTCCAAAAAAGGGAGAAGTTCCCTTCCTCTGCACTATTTTCGCATGCATATTTACGTGAAATTCAGCCTTTGATGCTTTGGAAAAAAAAATGGAGCCAATTAGAGTTTTTTCTAAGCATTTTGAGGCATGTTCACATCGAAGAAACTCAAAAAATATATCTTCAAATTCAAAAATCTTATTTTCTGACAATTCATGTCTTTCCTAGGAACTCAAATCGTCTTTCAAAAATAAATTTTCATCCAGAGTTGACCATTTTTTTAAATTTTTGAATGAGAAGCTTGCCTTCTTGTACATAAGCCATTAATTTCCCTCAGAAAAAAACTCGAATTGGCTCAATTTATTCCATTCCTCATTCCAAAGCATCAAAGGCCAAATTGCACGTAAATATGCACATGGAAAAAGTGCAGAGCGAGGGAATTTGTCATATTTTTCCCGGAAGCAGGAGAAAAAAAATAGGTTCTCAGGAAAAGTCGGAATGGTGGATAATAGCTGCTAAAAGGCTTGAATTGGGTCGCAGAAAGACATGAAAAAGGGTCCCTTTATCGAGCCTTTCATTTTTTTTTCTGGATTTTGGAGGTTGAAAAAGGAAGAGGCAGCAAAAATGGTGCATAAGGGCCGAGAAAATGGCGCAAAAAGGCAGCAAAACAGAAACATTTCTATGGAGTCATTTCCAACTTTTCCAATTTTGCAGAAACATACAAATACGGTTAGAAACAGTGCTTCTCCTTACTTTGAACCAGTTTGAACGTCAAGAAATCCCTAAACCCTCCATTCTAACACCTTTAAATCTCTAAAAACACGTTTCAATCATTTTTAACATAACATATCAGGTATTGAGTGTCTAGAAACTCATCTACATACGTTTCAAACCATATATTTTTCTTCATTTCTCTCCTTTTCATTCACTGCATCTTCCATCCACTAGGTAATAAATGCCTTCCATCGAATCGAAAAAATCTAGCGAGGAATTTTTGGAAAAGGGGAGAGACACCAAACATGGTGCATAAGAGCCGATGAAATGGCTCAAAAAAGGAGCCTTTATCAAACTAAAAGGAAAATGTTTCCGCCCTTCCTAATTTGCCTATGTTCTTTCGAAGAACTTTCTTGAGCTCTAAATCCAAATTATGTTCCTTCATCTTTCGAATATGACATTTTAAGCGTGAATTGATTATAAAAAAATTGTAGTTCTGATGAAAAATTCATAACTTTCCGGGCCCTTTTACTGAAAAAAAGTATCAAATTTCGTTGTTCAGTGATCTTCTCGTAATTCTAGACCTTTTTGAAAAAAAGGAAAAACTACTTATTTTTTTCAGTTGCAAGTGGAAATGAATTATTTATTTGGCTTTCTCTGACGCGGAATATCTAATTATCTCTTTGAAAAATGGTATATTTTTCGGAATTTTTTTGGATTTTCAAGCATCAAAAAGTGTTAGAAATTCATAATTTTATGGAAATCCCGCGAATATTCCAATTTTTTTCAAAAAAAGGGTACAGGTATTATAGATCGATGGAGAGGGGGCTAAAAACCCTCTGGAATCAAAATTCATTCCTTTCCGGTCACTTTATAAGAAACCATTGAAAAAACCACTTTTTCCCAATTTTCCCATCAAAAAGTTGAACTAAAAGGTCTATCCCTTTGTCCACTGCACTTTTCGGACAAAAAAAAGAGCAATTCCCCGTTTCTCGAACCAAAAGGTTCGTCGTTCAAAAACCAACCAACTTGCCCTTCCCGCCACAAAAAAGGAAGCTTATTATCTCCAAAAATGATCCCGAAAAAGCCACATTTGAAGTTTTTGAAAAGAAGGTTATTATCATGGCCGAAAATCTTTGAAACGGGGATTTATATTTACCTAATGGGAGTGGCAGAAGGAGAGGTTGAAGTAGGAGAAGCCGTGGGGCCAGAACCGCTCGGCGACGGGAGATTGTCGACTGAAAGATGAAAATTGAGCTTTTCTTCATGGAAGTTTTTCATCGGCTTCAGAATTACTTCCAATATCCAAGCACGGCGTTCCCAAATGGGTTGGGGAGACGTTAAAAAAAAATTTGGCGCGAAAATTAAAATCCCAAGTACAGTACTGGCCATAAAGGTATTTCAAAGTGGTTATTCGAGCATAACTTCTCTGAAAGTGACTCAAATTACTTGAAACTTTGCAAAAATTTGAAATAGCTACGCAGTAACTCTTTCACGGAAGAAAAACTCATTTTCTCAAGTCAGACCGGATTTGGGAACAAAAAACCAAAAATCGTTGAAATCAAGATTTTTATCTTGAGATTCGAAAAATCATATCTTCAAAGAAACTTCGATTTCGAATCAAAAAGTTTTTTCCCCAGTAAAAAAAGTCTTCGGCTTTCCAAAAAACCTAATCAACCCCTCACCAACACGATAGTAAGAGCGCAGTGACTTTTTCTTCGGAAGGCCCTTGCGTTTTGAAGCCTCGTCATTCAAATGGACTATACGAGGTCATTTTTGTTTGAGAACACCCTGTATCATGTTGAAAAACTTTGAAACACCCTCAAAAATAGTTTTACACTGATTTCTTCAGCTTTCTCACTTTATCCTTTCTCCAGAACTCGCTTACTTCACTAGGACCGATTTTGAAACCTCTGATTTGAAGCGGTTATGCTCCTTTTTCAAAATCAGAACATTCTCGATTTCTCATTTCAAATTTCAGAGCTTCTTCAGAACCTTTATGAATGAAAATGAAAAAATACCTTTGGTCAAAACGAGAAGTTTTTCTTAAAATGAAGCCCTCGAAATTGGGAAAAGATTATTTATTGACTACATTTGAGTTAAATTTCATAATCAAAAAAATAAGGTTATTTTTGCTTTTTATTTCCATTTAAAATTGTCGCAGTTCATTAGGGTACGGAAAATCATGCGATTTTTGAAAATTAATTTCTTTTTAGTTCAATCCGGCCATTGCAACAAATACACAGTAGAAAGTAAATTTTTCTGCTGATGTTAATCAAGCGATTCCCTGTGAAGATAATTATATCCCTCTCCACCTGTCCATTTATTTTCCAGTTGAACACCTTCATTATTTTCCCCTAACCTTCCAATTTCCCTTCATTTCCGAAAACCTGTGTTTCCAAGTCTTTTCCAGTAAAACGATTATCTTTCCCCAATCAAAAAGGCCTTCAAATTTCCGGCCATTCGTGGGAGTTTCCCATTAGAAGAAGAAAAAAAGACGGAAAAGCGATTAAGTTCGCAGATTCGATCTCGGTTTGCCCTGGGGGCCTAAGGAAAGCAAAAAAAAACGTCTGCGAAAAACAAATAGAACCAAAATTCAATCTTTTTCTTCCCCTAGGAACAAGATGTACAATAAAAAAAGAAAAAAATGGGAAAGTTAAGATCTTTGGAATAAAAAAAGATAATATCCTCTAATTATATCCATTCATGGGAAGATAAGCCAGTTTGGCGAAAAAAATTACTTCCTTGTCTAGGGATTTCTATTCAAAAAAATAAAAAAATTGAATTCATTTTCTGGTTATTTTAACGTGAGGAAAAACAGGAAAAAACGCAAAATTTCTCAACTTTTTTTCGGTTTGAAATGATCCAACGTTTTAACTTTTTGGAAAAATCCCTTTTTTTCTATTCAAACACCCATTAGACCTTTTAGTCCCTACCTTAGCTCTCTGAGTTTGAAAAACTTGAGCAAAGCCAGGATTCAGCTCCAAATAGATCCCGGATTAACGCCCCCAACTATTTGGAAGTAATCTCTATCCATTTCGCTCCTCTTTTTAGTGGTTTTTAAGGGTTTCTTTGATGATAAGGAAGTTTTGATATGTTAGAAAACGTCAAGAAGCCATGACTAAATATATGTTTTCATATAGTTTAGCCAATTTTCCTTTTTTCACTCGGGCAAAATCGGAAAAGTGGCTCAAAAAGGGTCCTTTTATGGAGCTTTCCATATTTTTTTAGGATTTTAAAAGGTCAATAAATGCTGGAAAAAGGGAGAAGCAGCAAAAATGGTACATAAGGGCCGAGAAAATGGCGAAAAAAGGCAGCAAAACAGGAACATTTCTATGGAGTCTTTTCCAACTTTTCCAATTTTGCAGAAACTTACAAATACGGTTAGAAACAGCGCTTCTCATTATTTTTGAACCAGGTTGAAAAATCAAGAAATCCCTAAACCCTCGATTCTAACACCTTTAAATCTCAAAAAAACACGTTTCAGTCATTTTCAACATATCATATCAGGTGGTTAGAAACCCGCCTAAATACGTTTCAAATCATATATTTTTTTCTTCATTTCTTCCTTTTTCATTCAATTCCTTCAATTCATCTTCCATCCATCTAGTAATAAATACCTTCCATCGAATTGAATAAAAAAACATCGAAAAAAATTTAGCGAGGACTTTTTGGAAAAGGAGAGAGGCAGCAAAAAAATGGTGCAAAAACAGCCGAGAAAATGGCGCAAAAAGGTAGCAAAAAGGGAACATTTCTATGATCTTTGCCTATGTTCTTTCGATAAAAAATGTTTTCCTTAAGCTTTAATTCAAAAATGACCCTTCTTCCAAAGATTAAACTTTTACACTTTTAGTCCATTCAAATCAACCTTCCCATTTCTCGGAAAAAAAAACTCAATCAAAGACTTAAATGTGAATCATTCAATGAATGCCCCAATAAGCATTCATTACGGGGCCGCCGTTTCATCAATCATTTCTCTTTTTTTTTTTCTCCTTCCAAGAAAACATTCTTCGGGGAAGAGAAATAATGAGAAAGATGATTAGTCAGACTTTTTCTTGGCATTTTCAAAGAGAGAAGACGACTTCCTTATGAGAAAAGAAACCCCAAAACTTTGAATAAAAAAGACTCGAAAATTTTCTTGGCAAACACTTCCATTATTTTTCCTGTCAGTTTAATTTTTATAGGGTATTTTTTTGTAAAATTTTTCATATCATGGCTAACAAATCAACCCAAAAACTAGTTAATCTAACAAATTTTCCACTTGGAAATTGATATTCTCTTTCTCGGTAAAAGTCCGGATGGTGGATAATGACCGCTAAAAAGGAGAGGCTCAAAAAAGGTCGCAAAAAGGCAGCAAAAAAGACAGCAAACAGGCGGCAAAAAGGGTCCCTCTATCGAACCTTCCATCCTTTCTGTGATTTGAAAAGCTCAAAAAAATGATGGAAAAAAAGGGAGAGACAGCAAAAAAGGTTCAAAAACAGCCAATGAAATGGTGCAAAAAGGCGGCAAAAAGGGTCCAAAACAGCCAATGAAATAGCCCAAAAAAATGGAGCCGTTTTTCCACTTTTTGACTTTGCCTATGTTACCAATGATACAAAAACTTGAACCAGAAGCCGGATTAAAATTGTCAAAACCGCCATTTTTTTCACAATGGACAAGTATAATTTTATACTATGAAAAGCATTTTTTATCAAAATATCGCTGAAAACCCAAAAAAAACTCTCTAAAATCAACCAAACCATCAAGCTAGAAAAACTCTCCCCTAAAAATTTTCAAGAAAAAGCCCCTACTCGAAGGCGAGGAGGCTAGAAGTCGATCCGTAAGCCTTTTAATGCTCATCCGGTTCTCCAGCGTCGTTTTCCGTCTTTCTTGGAACTGGTCGAAGCTTAGGAGGGTTCTGAAAAACGAAAAAAATTCGAAGAAAAAGAGATTATTTAGTGTGAATCTTGTGACTTTAGGCGCAAAAAAATAAAGAGAAAATTTGAATTTTTTTCGAACAAAAAAATGGGTAAAAACTTGATAAAAATCTGCAAGAAAGGCAAGTTTTTCAATCGAAAACAACCAAAAATCCATAATTACATGACAAAGAGTACATTCCGAATCTTTAAAATGAATGTTTTTTTCCATAAAATACTGTTAAAAAAACATTAAAATTATAATGAAAACTTACAGGTTTTTGAAGAAAAAATCAACAAAAATCATTTTTTTATCAAGCCAATTTGTCAACAAACATCATATCGTCAGGCAGAAAAGTGCATGAGAAATCACTCAAACATTTTTTTTTCAAAATTAGTTCATATGGTAACAAGTCTTCTGTGGAAGGAAAAATGAATAAAAATACTTTTTTTACCTAAGAAGCTAGCCAAAATTTTATAAAAAGTCCGCATTTGCATGACAAAAAGTGCTTTTAAAGAGAAACGGAAAAAAATGAACTTTTTGAGTTAGAAAAAGCTCATTATCACACTAAAAACGCGCACTAAAAAAAGAAATTCGAAATGATATTTTCTCTAGAGAATTCATAACTCGTTGGACTTCAAGGAAAAAAAGCGCGGTATAAGTCATCCGATTTAATTTTTCCCTGGAGAATACAAGGATGATTAAACTTATTGAAACAATTTGTTTGAGAAAATGAGCAAAAATCCAGTTTCAGCTAATTTTTGTAAGAAAGTACTACGTTTTTAAAACCTGGATCGCCTGAAATTTCTGACAAAAATCGTGAAAAATTGACCATTTTTGACAAAAGTTAGGCATTTTAAGACAATTTGTTAAATTTGGAGAGTATCCCCTTCCTTCCCAAGCCAAAAACCGACCGATTTCTGGCGAAATCCTGGTCCCTCTTCACGACCACTTGATGCGCTCGCCAGCACTTGGAACACCGATTCTCCCATTGCGGGGTGCCGTAAAAACCGCATCCGTTCACGCATAACTTAAAAATTTCAATAAAAACCTTCAAATTATCTTAATATCACAAGAAACGAAAAATTCACCAAGTCTTTTTCCCGAATCTGAACTTTAATCCTTTTGCTTTTCGTCATCGTCGGCTCTTTTCGATGGCATAATCCTTGGAAAAAAACTTCCTGCAAAGCACAAATTCAATCTTTTGTGCAAATGAAACTAGATATGAACCAGACGATATTAAAAAAAGACTGAAAATCACGAGATTGCATGTCTGAAAAAAGAGAAACTGTCGTGAGAAGGCGTATTGTACGCAATGAACTGTTAAAAGATACAGTAAGCGAAAAAAACAGAAAGTGCTCATTTTTTTGAGCTTCTCCGCTCAAAAAAACTAAGTTTCATAATTAAAACAATAAGGATTAGAAATCGACCCTTGCAAGAATTTATTCGCCAAATAAAAATACATGGAGGTGGACTTTCAATCAAAAATTTTTGCGCAAAAAGGGTTAAATAATTAGGCGTTTGTTCAGGGAAAAATTGAAATTACTTCTCGAACTTTTTGCAAAAGCACATAGAAAGCTGTAATTTGCAATTTGAAGGTATCAAAAAACTACCAAAAATTTTTTTGGAAGAAAAACAAGATTGACCTTAAAAAGTTTCAAGTCATGCTGTATATTTTTTTGACGCTTATTTCAGGGATTTATTTCAGGGCCTAGTTTTTTTAGATATTTTTTTATTTGCAATATTTTGATTTTGATATTTTTTTGGAAAGAAAAACTGAATTATTAGCGAAAAAAATCTAGTCTTGAAAGGATAGAAAATTACCCAAATGGGTCTTCAACATCTTGAATTTTTAAATAAACTTTATAAAAAAATAACGAGGACAAAAAGAAAATGGTGTAAAAACTCAGAATAATGAGCGACTCTCTGAATAAAAAGCAAAAAAAGCAATTGAATGAACTAAAAAAATTGCTTTCAAGCAGAAAAAAATGCATGAAAAACTTCAGTAAGAAGACGTATTTCGGAGTGTAAGTAAAGTCATGTGGTCAATAAAACCCAACACACTCGAGCTTTTCTGGAAATGGGCGGAAGGAGGAGGGGAAAAAAACGGAGAAAGGAAGCAGAGCGAGTGGCACGACGACTGGAGGAGGCGTGGCCTCCGGGGGCATTCATCTCCAAATAAGGCGCGTGTCGTTCGGCTCCCAACATTCCATCCCATTCTAAATGTTCCCTTTTTTTAGCCTAAATTTGCTTCATTTGGGGGAAGAAGCTTGCGAAATGGCCTATTTTGAACCTTAATTTTTGAACATTCTGAAATTTCAACTCGATAAAATTTTAAAAATTATTTTTTTGAAAGATCAATTCAAGAAAAATTCCATTCAGAAAGATCTCTTTAAAGATTATGAACGAACAAGCTTTACAAAAACTCTATAAAAAGCAAAAAGGTGATTGAAGCCCGATGCGGGGCTCGAACCCGCGACAGCCAGATTAAGAGTCTGGTGCTCTACCGACTGAGCTAACCGGGCCGCTGGTAGTTCGGCGGGCGTTTGCGCACCAAGTTGCTTGAGAGTAGACTTGTCATATCAAATTTAGTTGATTGCTGTTATAAAATATTCGAAAATTGTAAGAGAAAGAGTCAAAAGTTGAATAATGCTGAGAAAGGCGGGAAAACTAGGAAATTTTTTGTCCCTTTTCAAACTTGAAAAACTTGCTTTAAAGCTTCCAGCTTAAATAGCGGAGAGTCTTTTTTCAAATGACAATTGATAGAAAGGCGAGTTACGGCAAGAAAACTTGACCATGATGATCGAAAAAAAAGAACCAAGAATGCAATAAAAAAGGGGAATGGTCAAATGAAATGCAACCCCCAAATAAAACCAACAAATGCGCTAAAACCCTTATTTATTTTTCCTCACACACATAACAATCCGTTTTGATGATATTTAATGGACGAGTGTTCCCTCAAGGGTTGTATTCGATGGGCAGGTTCTTCCTGCGGACCATGCCGTCGCCTTGGAACCATTCACGTCGGAACTGCTTGGCGGCGCCGTCGGGCGTGTTGGTCCACTCGATCGTGATGCGGTCGTTGTTCGTGTCCTAAAGCGATTGGTCACTGTCTTTCAACAGAGTACTGTAGATACCTCCTGTCCGTAGGCGAAAGCGTCGCAAGAGACGGCGAGCAGGACGGCCTCCTTGGGGTCGAGGACTCCGCACGGCGGGTCGACGCCCAGACGCTTCATGTTCGTCGTCTTGATTCCGTAGCCAATGCGGCGGGCCGACGAGTTGATCACCTACAAGATGAAAACTTGTTGATTCCAACATAAAGTTTGAAAGATCCTCAAGCTCAAAACTGTAAATTTAAGCTTCAAGATCAAGCTACAGAAACGAATTAGTTTCTAGGACCAAGCTCAAGCTCAGGACTCAAGCTCGGACTCAAAACTCAAGTCACAAGCTCGAGCTCAAGGCGCCAATGATACCTTGATGTGGTAGGTGTGCTTGTCGTCGTACGGGGCATTGAAGACGATCTTGGTGTTGGGCTGGGTCTGGATGTCGCCGGGAGGAACGGATTGAGCCATTTCGTCGCTTGACCAAACGGGTTAACTTCCATCAGATCTGATCTCCTTTTATACTCCGATTATCTCAGATTATCATCTCTTATCTACTCGTCACGTTTTTTTTGTCATCAACCTATCTTTTTTTGATCTTTAAATTATGACACGTTGATGGAAATGTTTTTTTAAAATTCCGATGCCATCTTTGTCAGTGGTATGTATGGTTTATTCATCACAGTTTTTGAAATTTTCAAGCCCTTCCTTTCACGGCGTTTTTTGAGGACGCCACGCCCACTTTTTCTCCGTAAAGTGTAATGTGTCGTGTGCGTGCACTGCGCCGCTTTCGCCCAGAAAATTGCGTTTATATTGAGAAATTTCGATTCGTCTCAAAGATCTCTTGCAATACGGCGGCCTGCGCCTTTAATAAGTCCTGTTTATTATGCTTTTAGAGCCGAAATCTCTGCCGTTCCCATGACGTCACGTGGGAACGTCGGATATTTTGGCTCCGCCCAACGTGTTTTTGGTTTGGCATTTTCTTCCACTAACAAAAAAAGCCGTGTTTTTGGCTTATAATCCTTCATACTTAATTTTAAAAAAAGAAGGTAATAAAGTACATGTTTTCATGAAACAATTTATTCACATATTTTTAACATATTCAACAAAAATTACGAAGATTACTGTTCACAAAAAAATAAAATTCAATAGAATCTGAATAACTTCCAAATTTTTTTGCACAATGTATCGATGTATTCGATCAGTTGGTCGGTGGGATTAAATCATAATTACCGCTTCTTGAAGCTAATTTCAAGGCTTTCAAGGAGGACTTTAGTTGGATCGAGTTCGATGTTGGTTGAGAAATTTTGCCTTTGATGTCAGAATGAACTCCGAAGTCGTAGGAGGTTCTAAGGTTCAGCGAAGTTTCTTCAAAAGTTCAACCGGGGGGTAAAAACGTTTCCTAGTTTGGCGCGTAGATTATTTGTGATAAATTGGGAGATGGTGGTTCACTCATTTATTTTTCATTTATTTAGAAATCAAAAAAACTCTGCTGAACCATGGTAGATCTGAAGAGCCACGGCGTTTTTTTTAGCGACGCCCCGCCCATATTCCGTAAAATTCCGTAAAATGTAATGTGTCGTGTGCATGCACCGCGGCGCTCTCGCACATGCCACACTAAGAATAACTGACGAGATAAAAGCGAGGTCGGTGGCGGTACATTGACGAGCTCGCAAGCATCTCGCTTTTTTCAAGGCGCCATCTTGCATTTCTCTCGGCGCGACCTCGCATTTTTCTTGGCGCCATCTCGCATTTATCTCGCACTTCGGAAATTTTAAAATTGCGAGAGAAATGCGAGCTCGCGCCTAGAAAAATGCGAGCTCGCGCCCAGAAAAATGCGAGACCGGCGCGAGAAAAAAAGCGAGATGTTTGCGAGCTCGTCAATGTACCGCCAGTGTCTCGCGTTTATCTCGGCAGTTATTCTTAGTGCCACGTTCAAAGTAATTTCCGCGAAACCACGCCTCCTTCATTTTTGGATTTGCATTTTCTTTCACTAATAAAAAACGCCGTGGAGCTCATCGTTGTTGCGCGCAACAATCGACCAATTTTCTCCAAGAACGCTACGGAAGTCATCTCGCCAACGTGCCCCGTCCAAAGGATCGTTTCTTCTCCACGGAACGTCTACGTCTAATCTACGATCTTCTTTTCCCAAGTTTCTTCTCCCGTCACGATTTTCTTTGCGAAAAACCATTTTCTTCTTGTGGCAACTATTCGAGCATCACGTTTTCACCAACCGTTTGGTCTTCTATCCATTGGCAAATGAAATGAAAAATGAATCACAATGTAATAAAATTTTGAACTTGGAAATGCAGTCTACTGTTCTATCTATAAAATCTTTCACTCTGGAACAGAATTTGAATAATCTGATAATTTCCATTTTATTAAGAAAAATGGCTCATTTTGAAAAATTTTAAAATTTCACCTCGACAAAATTTATAAAAATTGTTCGAAAGTTTAATCTAAAGAACTTCCATGCAAACAGGGGGTTTTCCTTGAGAAAAATATATACAAGGAAGCTTCATAATTTGTAATTTTACTGTTACAAAAAAAAGCCAAAATGTGATTGAAGCCCGATGCGGGGCTCGAACCCGCGACAGCCAGATTAAGAGTCTGGTGCTCTACCGACTGAGCTAACCGGGCCGCTGGTGGTTCTGCCGTCGTTTAAGCACCAAGTTGCTTGAGAGTAGACATTCCATATCAAAGTTCGATGAAATGTTCCAAAAAGTGAAAAATTCAAAAGTCAAAAAATGCTGAGAAAGGCTGAAAAAATTAGAAAAAAAGCTTTATTGCTTCCTTTTCTTTAAATTCGATCAACTTTTAAAGCTTCTATCGGAATAGCCTTAAGAATTTATAACGAGGAAAAACTCTGACAAGAAAAAAACATAATACCACAAAGAACCAAAAAAATGCAAAAACCGCCAGCTTCAACCCACAATCAAAAACCAACAAATGCGTTAAAAATCCCTATTTATTTTTTTCACACACATTAAAAATCCTTTTTTTAACATAGTCCTGTTCAAGTGTTCCCTCAAGGGTTGTATTCGATGGGCAGGTTCTTCCTGCGGACCATGCCGTCGCCTTGGAACCATTCACGTCGGAACTGCTTGGCGGCGCCGTCGGGCGTGTTGGTCCACTCGATCGTGATGCGGTCGTTGTTCGTGTCCTGAAGCGATTGGTCACTGTCTTTCAACAGAGTACTGTAGATACCTCCTGTCCGTAGGCGAACGCGTCGCAAGAGACGGCGAGCAGGACGGCCTCCTTGGGGTCGAGGACTCCGCACGGCGGGTCGACGCCCAGACGCTTCATGTTCGTCGTCTTGATTCCGTAGCCAATGCGCCGGGCCGACGAGTTGATCACCTACAAGATGAAAACTTGTTGATTCCAACATAAAGTTTGAAAGATCCTCAAGCTCAAAACTGTAAATTTAAGCTTCAAGATCAAGCTACAGAAACGAATTAGTTTCTATAGGACCAAGCTCAAGCTCAGGACTCAAGCTCGAACTCAAAACTCAAGTCACAAGCTCGAGCTCAAGGCGCCAATGATACCTTGATGTGGTAGGTGTGCTTGTCGTCGTACGGGGCATTGAAGACGATCTTGGTGTTGGGCTGGGTCTGGATGTCGCCGGGAGGAACGGATTGAGCCATTTCGTCGCTTGACCAAACGGGTTAACTTCCATCAGATCTGATCTCCTTTTATACTCCGATTATCTCAGATTATCATCTCTTATCTACTCGTCACGTTTCTTTTTTTTCATCAAACTTGTTTTTTTGAAGATTTTCAGGACGACACGTTAATAGTAATTTCTTGAAAAGACCTTGAAATGGAAATGAAAAAAATTAACCTTTTCTAAATTTAATTCTGCAAAACTTTGACTTTTCTAACGTTCAAAAGTCAGTCATTTTTACGAACTTCAAAAATTTTTACTGATTCTCTTTTCAAATCTGTCAAAGGTCTCTACAATCACGATACCCTTTGATGTGTTAATCATGGACTTCGTAAATAACAAGCTGACCTTTTCATTTCTCATCATCATTTTTATCAGTCTAAGTCTACAGTACACTCGAAATGATAAAAGAAACAAATGTTATCGCTTGGAAAAACCGGCGATAAAAGGGCCCGTTTTGGCTGCTGGAACAGCGACGTCATGTTGTTTCGTACTATTTCCATTTTCGTCGTTTTCCTGATTGGCAAGATCAGTGCCGATTGTCCAGATGGTTCCCTTCAATCACCTGATGGAAGTTTGTGAGTGAACTTTGCCGAGTTTTTACCTGGTTTCAAAAAAACGAGATTATGCCAGTTTTGGACTTTTTAGTAACCCGTCAACAGTAGTGATTTCGAAAATTCATGGAATATACAAGTTAGAATCAAAGATGTGTTCAGAAGAAGGGACAAAAAACGTTTTCTAAATGGAAAGTCTCTTTGAACTTTTTTGTATCGGAGATTTCAGTCTTGTCAGTTTCGAAAAAAAGAAATTTTCAATCTGAATTTTCAAATTAAACTTCAGAAGCTTTAAAAACTTACTTCCAGTCTCAAAAACGTAGGATACGGAAAAACACATCTCGTTTCAAATTTCTCAAATAAAACTCAATTTTTCTAAAACTTCCTGGAGCCTTGTTAGAAGCTCAAAGCTCACTAACGTGTCAAAAATATTCGTTATCTCCAGTAATTTTCAGAAAGTTTGAGCTTCATGGAAGGAAGTTTTTTTAAAAAAACCTAAAGTTCCCATTTCCAGATGCTACCAAGTGGTTCAAACCGAGTTAACCTACAACGAGGCCAAAATAGCTTGTGGGCTTCTGTCTGGAGGTCTTCCTTTGGTTCCAAACGCCTTTATCAACTCGTTTTTTTGAGTGGAGAGCTCAAAGGTTTGATCAAACTACTGGTAAAAAGTTGGACTGGATCCAAAAAGCTTCGCTAAGTCTGTTCTGGAGAGGATAATTATAGGCATCTTTCAAATCCATTACAGTACATATTAAGAACTTCTAATAAAATTCCTCGAGGTCGTTTTTTTCACTCTGGGAGCTGTCAAACTTGAAGCCAAATTCAAAAAAATCTAATAATTTAAATCAAAAAAATGAAGAAAAATAAACTTCTTTTTAGAGCTCACCCTACAGTATCTTCTGCTCTTAAAAAAACAATCTAAATCGTTTTTACTGCAATCGTCCCCCTTGTAACTGAAAAACTTGATATTGGAATTTAAATTCTAAAAAAAGAAGTGTAAAATTATCATTCTACACTTTTTCTCTTATTGGGAAAAATTTTTTTAGTGGCAACTATAGTAGTCAAATTAGTGGCCCCTTAAGGAGTTAAAAATTTAGTGGTCATTATAGAGGTCTAAGTGCTACTACTAGACCACTAAAAAAATTTTAGGGGCCACTTTAGGGGTCAATGGATCAACATAACTGGTCTAATCTGTTTTTTTATTATATTATCAGAGTTACTGGAAGGAATACTGTATGAAAAAAACTACTGGAGTGACCACTAAGTAGACAACCTCTACAGTGGCCACTGAAATGGAAGATAGTGGCCCCTTTAGTTTCCTCTCCAAGTAGTCCTTGACTAGCCTCTATAGTGGCCACTCATTTTTAACCCCTTAAGTAGCCACTAAATTGAATACTATAATGGCCACTAAAACGTCAAAACTCTATAGTGGCCACTGAACATTTTCCCAGTATCGATGTTCAAAAGTCGTTTTCAAATTCCTCCCATTCTCCACTTAAAATGTTAAAACCCAGGTTTCAGAAGTTTCTCTGAGCTACTCTTGGCTACCGTACTACTATTCGGATGGAGCTTACATCGGCGAGGACGGAAATAAGCCGTCTTTTACCAATTGGGGATTCGGTGAGATCAAATAATCTTCGTTTCTCACGTTATCACAGCGTTTTTGCATGGAAATCGGCATTATCAGTGAAACCGAAAATGCCGAGCAAACATATGACGAACAGACCAAAAAGATCAGTTTCGATGATTGATAATTGGTACCGTATCCATCTCACTTCTTCAAGAAAGCTTAAAAGAATGGATTCTAGTAGTTTGGTGACAGGGAACAGCTTAGATTGAAGCTTGAGGTACGGTTATGTATTCAGGATCAGAAGGTTCTATTTATGAGTAAAACCATTTCATCTGGTCAGAATCGAAAGACCAAAGAAATTTTAACACAATGCCAATCGCTTTTCAAAAAAACCCAGTTTTCAAAAGATTTGAGCTTCTTAAACTTATAACTAAAGCTATAGGTATCTAAAAACTCAAGATTGGAATATCTTTATTGGGAAATATTCGCTTGATCTTCATTTTTAAATTTATAACCATAGACAAAGTCGAAAAGGGTGGAAAAAGGCTGCATAGAAATTTTCATTTCAAGGTGACAAAGGTTCCTTTTTTGCTGCCTTTTTGCGCCATTTTCTCAGCCCTTATGCACCATTTTTGCTGCCTCTCCCTTTTTACACCATTTCTTGAGCCTTTCAAATCCTAAAGAAAGTGGAAGCCTCGATAAAAGGACTTTTTTTCTGCCTTTCTGTGGCCTTTTTTGAGCCATTATCCACCATTGCAACTTTGCCCGAGACTAGGGCTGTAGATTTTGATAACTGCTGTTCGCTTGAGATTGAAAAAAGCGAGGAATCAGAAATTTCAAATTATAATTCGATTTGCAAAAGGGGCGTGCCGTAGCGCAACAGGTTGTGTGCCTGTCTACGGTCCACAGGGTCACAAGTTCGATCCCCGCCTCGACCCAACCAAGGGGTTTAAGAAATGTTGTTAGTGGGAATCCACGACTTCAAAATTCCCCAGCCGTCACACACAAGGACGGATATGTCACTGGAGCCAGTCCACTGATTATCAGGATACCGGGCGCCGACGCCGCTCAAGCGGTACAAAGGCGTAGGAAGAAGAAGAAGAAGAATTCGATTAGTAAAACATAGTGCTAAATTAAGAATCGCTGTAACTTCTTTCGCGAATCAGCTATGGATGGAGTATGGTTGACGCCAAATTTCCCTTCTTAAAGTAGTGAAACGCGATAAATTACAGGAGAACCAACGCTCAGCGACGGTTACGCCGCCATTCTGAGTTCGAATGACGGCCGTTGGTTTACTTATCCGACCAACTCGAGCTTCCACTTCATCTGCGCCTTTCCGCCACCACAGTGCCTCAATTCGAAAACGACAAAGTCTCCAATTATTCGCACTACCACAACGACATTTTCACCATTCACCACTTCTTCCTACTACGGTTCCTGTGTTCCTAGTTTTAGAGGTAAGTATTCCGGTCATTTTTTAAATTTTAAACATGTTCTTGATCCAATTTGAACAGAAAATTTGGAAGGAAGTCTTTTAAACTCTCTGTCTCTTAGTGTATTTACTTCAAACAGAAGAACATTTTCCCAGTATATTCAGGGTTTTTAATCAAAACAGATTAACGAAAGTTTTGTCAAATTCGACTAAAATCATCGATATTTTCCAAAACTCCAAATAAAAGTCATTTTCAATTAGAACAGGTATAAAACAGCCTCGGTTAAAATCGTTTCACAAAAGAGCCTCAACATAAATTTAAGAAAGAAAACTTCAAAATGATCGGATAACTGTGAAAAAAGCTATTACCTCAACATTCAAAATTTTTTCTCAAAGTTACTTTTGAATGTTCCTAGCCTTCATAGGTCTCTAACTGTTATTGGTACTGGAGTCGTTTTTTTCAGAAAGCGATCTCAATTTTTCTTCAACTAGAGGCAATTCTCAACAAAAAATAAGAAAAAAACTTTTCAGACAATCAGAACCCGTGTCTAGACAACACCTGGCGCTACTATCCGCGCACTTGCTCGTGTTACAAGGTGCGAATCACGATTTTTTTCCTGAAAGTTTTCAGGGATTCTTCCAAAAAAATTTTTTTGTAATAATAAAAATTCCTTTTGTATTTTTCTTAGTTGAAAGTGACTTAGCTGTCGCCATCATGCTTACCCCATGTATGATCGGAATGCTAACTGATTTCAAAGCCAATTTGCGTTGAAGATTTTTCTCCTTCAAATTTTGTAAAAGCTTCAAAAACCTGAATAAATCTTAATTAGATATTTTACCTGGAAAGTTCCAGTTTCGATTCCAAATAAAGTCTTTATCAAGCTCCTTCACATATATCAAGCTCAAAATTTTCGTTTTTTTATCAAATACTCTCAGATTCTCAACTCCACTTACTTCGAACAAGCTCAAGAAGACTGCTCAAATCTCTTCCCGGGCAGTAACCTCGCCTCCATTCACAGCGATTCTGAGGCGATCTTCGTCAGTGGTATGTATGGTTTATACATCACACTTTTTGAGAACTTCAATCTGAGCTCTATCCTTCAATCACTCCAAGACATTTGAACCTTTCAAACTATCGAATTTATTTTTTTCTTTTTTTCAAAAAGAAAAAAATCTTATCTCGAGAATTTCTTATATTTTAAAAAAATTTTTCCGGTTTCTTTGTCTTTCTACTATGACATCTCTATCCATAGAAATAATTCACAAAAAGCGTTAGGAAATTTTGATAATCATCCCTTTCATACCATTTTTTTGATCACTCTCGCCTATCTTCATTTGAAATTTCAGAACTTTCAAATTATCCGAAATAATTCTATTCTCAACTTTTCGCTACTGGTCCTTCAATCACTTCAGATTCTCAAGATCTTCCAAAATAATTTTTTTTCTCCTCTCTCTAAAAGCGTGAATCTCCACAGACTCTGATCAATCCTAAATCTTCAAACCTTCTTTATTTCTCTATTTAAGGTCTATGCTCATTGAATGACCCCAGAAAAAATTCTGAAACTCCCGAAAAATTCTCCTTTCTGCTCTTTTTGAAGGCGCAGATCTTCGTCTCTCCTCATTTAATCACTCCAGGACCTCAAAAAATTCTCCTTTCTGCTCTTTTTGAAGACGCAGATCTTCGTCTATGTTACTTCAATCCCTCCAGAACCTCGAAAAATTCTGAAACTTCCAAAATATTTCCCCTCTTCTGCTCTTTTGGATGGCGCAGATCTTCGTCTCTTCTTATTTAATCACTCCAGAACCTCGAGAAATTTGAAAACTCCCCGAAATGATCATATTTTTTTCGCTGTTTGAAGGCACAGATCTTCGTCTATGCTCCTTTAATCCCTCTAGATCATACAAAAATATCAAATTTCACAGACATGGTAATCGCCGCGATTGAAAACGACAACTGGGAAGTTCACCACGACGGCGAGGATGATACCATAATCGGCCTGTACCGTACCCAAGTTGGAGCCCCTTGGCAGCATACCGATCATACGCCCTACGATTTCTTCCCCTGGATCGCACCGGACACTTCGATCAATAACAACTATGGGACGGTGGGTTATAGAGAGATTATTCTAGACTGCGGTTGAGGACTTCTTGAAAGTGAGCCAGAATATTCCAGCAGTCTCAGCCTGCTCATCTCTGGTTTTCGGAAAGGACACCTCAAAGTCAAAGAAAGCCTTCAATATTCGTAAAAAGGGTCTTTCCATCCTCATTGAAAAAAAAAACTTAGAGCTTAAAAAGGGAAAAATACAAACCAAAGGGTCATTGTCTACAGTTACCTTAGTTTCTAACTGGAGTTCATGAACTTTCAAAAGAAATTCAGAAATTCAAACGTAATGCTCTTTTTCAGTTGATAACTTCGAGCGCACCGGGCTACCGAGGATTTGGAGGCGTTTACAGTACTGAGAACTACATTATCCGGACAGCCGTTTGCAAATATCAGCTTTAAAAATTGATGGGATTCGATAAAAATGATAAAAAAAGTCAAGATCAACCAACTGAAAAAAATCATATTTTTCCAAGGAAACGCTTCAAATTAGTTTTGCTGGAAAAAACTACTCTTTGAAAAATTAGTACGATTAAGGTTTTTCTGAATTTTCAAAAAAATTTGATACTTTTAAAAATTACGCGGTCGCATTTGGAATGGATCTAGCCCATTTTTGCATCGTATCAGCTATACGTTCACGGCTAGCTTAGGACGCTAGTGGGCATGTCCTGTCTGCGCTCTCCACGAGCCAGGCGCTATCTCGTGCATTATCGTGCCAGGACCATTTTTTCGATAGCTCAGCCAGCCGTGAATCAGCTATATAACTCGGACATTGGTAACGAGAAACGGACTGGGCGATTCTAGTGACCACTTTAGTCTTCAGCACTCTTAAGTGATCCCTAGAATTGCTCTGAAACGCCCAGAGCACGTCCGGTTTTCGTTACAGAGGTCGAGAAATCCTTGACCTTACTTTTCCTATAACCTCCGACAGAAAGCCGTTTCTCGGTCGGTTGCAACTATTTCTACAGTCATTCCGGGACCGGGGCGTGACAAGTTGTACTGTATGATAAGAAGGATTAATAATTGACATTTCAAACTCTTATCAGTGTCAAAGAAACACGCTAAACCATATTACTGTCAGGGAATCTATGACCTTTAAAATTGGAAATGTCGCTGGCTGATAAGGAAACCGCAGAAGATAGCTATCAATGACGAATATCACGTTATCAAATATTTTTCAAAAACCGTTAAGATCAAAGAATCTAAGGGACTTGGAGACAATGAAAACTAGAAGAAAAATAAATAAGGAAAAAAACTTTGTTAATGAATATTAAAGTTAAAGCTTCAAGATTTTATTTTTATTTTTAAGCTTTGAAAATTGAGGTTCCCTTGAAAAATTCGATTTTTTTCGGCTTGATACCGTGATTTGCTCGTGGAAGATCTCAAGAATTTTCTTTGAGCCTTTTTCCGATTTTTTTGGCTAGAAATTTATCGGCTAACTTGAAAGCCTTCTATCAACGTCGAAAAAAACCTTTTTCCGATTTTTTTATCAGTTAGATATGTTGAAAGCTCTCCTCATAGCTCGCCGTTTTATTATTTCTATATAGTTTTTGAAATTTCGAACTTTTTATAATTTTTATATTTTAAAGAACAATAAGATCCTCAATTTCTCTTTGAAAAAAATTAGCATATTTTTTTGAAAAACTGAAAAATTTGAGTGTACGTTTTTTTATATTATTTTCTCAAAAATCATAGTTGCACTAAAAATAGCTCTTGCTAACTTTTCACCTTCTGGACTCTAGATCTAACGCTTTCTAGAGCTTCCAAGCGCAAGCCGTTTCTTGGTCGGTTACAACTCGTTTTAGAGTCATTTCAGGTAAAGACCAAAGTTTGAGGCCTTTTGAATCAAAAAAATCGGGAAAGGACTCATTTTTCGAGAGCCATTCCTTTCCCTCAATGAAATTGAAAAGCGTCTCAATTTTCTTGAAATTCGCAGAACTTTTATTTTTACCGGCTTGAATTCAAATTTGCTCAAAAAAAGGTGGAAAATTTTGGGAGAGAGAATTGTTTGTTCCGCACTGAAACGCCATTGAGTTTTATCAATAGGAAATGGTGATAAGCAATTATTTTGCGTTGAAAAAGGAGCGGAAAACGGGCTGCCGGTGATGTTTTATTCCATTTCGATTTTTGTTCTTTTTCTCATCGCTGGGATCGACGCCGATTGTCCGGACGGCTCTATTCAATCTTCTGATGGGAAATTGTGAGTTTTTCTTCTCATAATTTCTAAACTTAAAATTTTTTTCACTTGTTATCCTTTGGACTGGATCATTCGAAAATCATCTTTTTATTCAAAATTGATTTACAATCGCGAAAAACTTATTCTATCTTGTGACTTTTTGAGAATAACACTTGAGGTTTTTCATCTATTTTTCCAAATTTTTTTCTCGGATCATGTTCTTGGGATTTTTCCTAGCGCTGGAAAGGCTCGAAAAGTTCAATTTCAACTAAAAAAACTTCAATTTTTTTGTTATAACATTTTTCGAAATCATGAAATCATCCTAATGATTGATTCTATCAATCTTCAACAGTGAAATAAAAATTTTTTTATTTTTATTTTTTTTTATTGTAAGGCATACTATTGCAAAATCATTCAGCACTGATTTTCTGATCCCAATTTTTTTTTTTCGGCGTCCAAACTCACTTTCAGATGCTACAAAGCAATCCAACCAACCGTAAGCTACGGCGACGCCAACAAAGTGTGCCGATTGATCTACGGAGGCCTGCCAGCCGTTCAGAATGCCTACGACAACGCTTTCATCAATGGGATTGCGATAGGTACAGCTTTTTTGAAAAAATTAAATTTTCTGTATTTTAAAGAAGCATGAAGTGATTCCCTTACTCAAAATGGCCTTTCCATGATACGTATTTAAATTCCTTTATGAAAACAATCAGCCAGTGGCCTCTAATTCACCATAAAACATTGAAAAAAACCATTCAACTTTCAGAAACTAATCAGTCCTTCACCTGGCTACCATACTACTATTTCAATGGAGCTTATCTTGGGCCGGACGGAAAACCGCCGACTTTTACCAATTGGGCACCCGGTTCGTTCCATTCATTATTTTTGAAGAGAAAAATCCGAGGCAAAAGTCGGAAGGGACGGAAAAAGGCCCCTAGAAATTTTCATTTTAGGGTGTGAAAGATTCTGCTGCCTTTTGCGCCCTTTCATCGGCTATTATGGACCATTTTTGCTGCATCTCCTTTTTCCACCATTTCTCGAGCTCAGAGAAAATGGAAGGTTTGATAAAGGGACCCTTTTTGCTACCTTTTGTTGCCAGCCAATCAGAGACGTATTCTCGCTAGAAGGCTGACAGAACGAGCTCCACAGTGTTCCCAAACGAGCGGCAGCTGTGGTCAGTAGGCGTGGCTGACTGCAACAGCGGCACGGTTTATTGCAATAGGGGCGCGGGGATGAGAGTCAAGTTTTGTGGATTTAGTGGTTGGAAAAAGACCATTAAATGATGTTTTTCCTAGGTTCTCGCAAGTTTTCAAAGATTTTTAATGTGTATTAAATTATAACGAACAAATTTAAATGAAGAAAGAGACGAAAAAGTTTTTGCAAAACAAAATATCTCCCAAAATGTCGTTTTTTAGGAAAACTCGTCAAATCGAACTTCCAAAGGGAAAATTGAGAAAAAGCTCAAAGCACTTCTCTTAAGAAATACCATTTGAACGTTTTAAAACAAAAACAAATACATAATAGCTTGTACGAATAAAGTTGTCACCCAAAATGACATTTTCAAGAATAAATTCGTCGAATACTGCCTCGAAAATAAAATTTTTAGAAAAAACTCGCGTTTTCGCCCCATTGCGACGACCTTTTTTTTCGCTTGCCGCCGTCTCTTTTGGAGCACTGTGAGCTCATTTATTGGTTACTATTGTAGTAACATTCCACGTGAATCAATTATTTTTGATCCAACGAAAATGTTAACAGGAGAGCCAACACTGGGCGAAGGCTTCGCGGCAGCCTTGCACTCATCCGACGGCAAATGGCGTACTTTTTGTACAGTAACCAGAACAACGTCATCTGCGCCTTTCCCAATTCTCAATGCAGCGATACAGCGACGACAACTACAAAGCCCGTGATCCGTACCACTTCGAATCCTCGTCATTCAACCAACTCCGAACCCCAACTACTGTCTTCAGCTCTATCAATGTAAACTCGTTTGATTCATCATCATCATCAATATTTAATGGTTTTTTAGTCAGATGGAATCGACTAAGCGGTGAAAAAGATTGTTTTTTTGAGCGGCACTAACACCGCCTTTCACGAACTAGAAGTTCAAAAAGTGTAGTTGATCGAATTGAAAGCATGGTCATACGATCCTTCGCTTCGTTCTTCCACAAGTATTAAGAAGAAAATTATTATACATCACCAGGATGCTTTCTAAACCTCCATCAGCGAACTCAAATTATTTCTGGTACTGTACACGTTTTCCCATAAGTACCTCTAGCAGCAAAAATAGAGCCCTTCAACAGAAAAACCCAGCATAGCCCTTCAACAAAAAATTATAATTCTTAGAAAAAGTCCGTGAAACTGCCTAAAGCTTTTCCTAAGCCTTTTCTCAATTTTTCAAGTAACAGGATCTCTTTTGTGTATTAGGGCATCTCTTTCTAGATACTTTTTCGGTTTACTCTCTCAAAAATATTTTAATTGCCTCAAAAAGTAACTCCTAAACAGAAAGACAAAAAGATGATCTTTAATGAAGCTTTTTGGTCCTTTGTGAAGTTTGGCTGTAGAAAAATAATTCTGAAATATTCCAAAAATTTATCTATCTTTCTGTCAAGATCCATCAGTTGAAAATCTACAGGGTACAAAGAAATAAACTTACCATAAAAACTTTCAAAAAATAAACAAAGGTAAAATAAATATTGAGCACTTTTGTATATTTTATATTTCAGACGATTCGAACCCTTGCCTGGACACTTCTGGTTCTTCTACCCAAGAACTTGCTCTTGTTACAAGGTAAAAGCTTGAATTGTCGACGAGAAGTCCTCATGGATATGAAAAGGAGTTCTAGTGCGCCTCAGAAACAAATATTATTATTTTTCTCAAATAAATGCCTTACAAATCTAAAAAGTTTGTTATTAAAAACTTCTGAAAAACATAAAAACTTGAGAAAAAATCAATTTTTCTTCCAATAAATTCTAGAAAAACTTTCAAAGCCCCTATTGCATTTTTCAGTTGTTATATTTCTCACTGGAATTAATCATGAAAAACTTTGAATTAATTCACAGCTGATTCACGGCTTAATTCGGATACTAGTAGGCGTGGCCTGTCTGCGCTCTACGCCAACCAGGCACTATTCTCTTCTTTTTATCGTGTCAGGACCATTTTTGATGGCTCAAGCCAGCCGTGAATAAGCTTACTTAGTGATATTTCTGACAATTTTAATCCAACCTTGAAAATTCCCAGGTCCTCAGCCAGACACACTTTTTCCCTTGCCCAATCAGTTTGCTCCAACTTCCGCTTTAACAGCAACTTGGCTTCTCATTCACTAGCGACGAGGAGGCCGTCTTCGTCACTGGTAATGACTTTTATGGAATAGAGACTTTGGAAAAATTTTCAGATTTCGCCATGTCAACAAACAACAACGACAACTGGCAGGTATGAAAATCTCGAAAAGAAAATAAAATGTACCTTTCTTATAGTTTTTCTGTGTACAGTGTGTAAAGTAGGGAATCGAGTTTCTTTTGGGGAAAAACCCTAACTTATTCACCATTTATTCAAGCTTTTTCTAGTATTTCTAGTATAAAAACATCTGTGAAAATCGATTTCTAATGTTATTCAATGAAATTCTGGGTTCGCTCTATCACTGCCGTTTTTAAAATCTGTCCTATTTTTAAATTTACAAAACAATTTCATGGCATATCTTTTAAAGAGCAACTGAGGGGCAGCAGGAAATAATAAACAGTGAGATCACTGAACCTTCCAATGACATTTAGGTATCCTCCATTTCCTTTGAAGATCATGAATTTCCAAATTAATGGCTGAAACTACGAATCGCCACTTTTGTTCATTTTTAAGACCCATCACGATGGACAAGACGACACGATCATTGGATTGTACCGTGCTGACATATACTCTCAGTGGTACTATACAGACACGACGCCTTACCAAGGGTTCCCGTGGGTCGCGCCCCCATTCGGCCACCTTGGATTATTATGGAACGGTTCGTTATTCAATACAATCTGAGTTATACCGAAAAATGAATGAAAAAGACTGTGCTTTTTTTAAAAACTTGCTTACCATACTCTGGAACGCTGAGGTACTGATGAGAAAAAACAAACAAAAATTGCTCGAAATTCGGGATCGAAAATCGAAAATTTCCCCAGAAAAAACTAAACTAAATTGAAAAATAATTTTTCGAATCTTCTTTCAAGTGGTTTCAAAGGCTTGAAATGCTAAACTTTGGATCTTTTTTTCGTAAATGAGACTTTGGAAAACAAGTTTTTCGTAAGTCAGCAAAGGAATTTTTCCGAACAATTAATCCTTATTTCGCAAATTATCCATAAAAATTGAAACTTATTCGTTTCAAGATGCTCTTTTTATTCAGTCTTGGGCAAAGTCGGAATGGTGGAGAATGGCTGCTAAAAGGTCCCTTTATCGAGCCCTCCATTTTCTGGGACTAAAAGCTCGAGAAAGGGTGGAAAAAGGCAGCAAAAATGGTGCATAAGGGCCAAAAAAAAATTTTTTGTACCTTTTCCGACTTTGCCCACGTTTCTCTTCCTTTTCTCTTCCTCCTTACCAAAAATTTAATTAAATTCTTAATTTCAGCTGATAACCACAAGAGCGCCTGGATATCGAGGCTTCGGCGCCTTTTTCAACACTGGGAATAACATTTGCCGCAACGCCGTTTGCAAATATTCGCTAGTTTGAAAAAAAACCTTATCAATTTGATGGAAAGGAACGAAAAAATACAATAAAAACAGATTGATGACAAAACATTTCATCACTATCTTTCTTGTTTGATCATGATGATATAACTTCAATTATCAATCTCTTGATGAGATTGAATTGAGTTATCACTGGGAAAAAGAAATGATAAGGGAGTATTTCTCGCTAGGAGAGCCGTGGGTGCGATGTCGCTTTATTCAATTTTATTTTTTTGTTTTCCTGGTCACTAGGATTTCTGCGGATTGTCCTGGCGGATCGACTCTATCGGCTGATGGTAAATTGTGAGTTTTTCCAAGTCAAGCCGCATCTAGTGCTTCAAGCAACAATTTATTCTGAAATCCACGCTTTCCCAATACTCAGAAATCGTTTCCAGATGCTACAAAGCCATTCAAACGTCCGTATCGTACCGTGAGGCCAAAACTTTATGTGGCTTACTCTACGGAGGCCTGCCTTTGGTTCCAAACGCCTTCACTAACGCTTTTTTGGACGGTCTTTTGAATCGTCAGTTTCAATTTTTGTTTAAACTAAACATAGGGTGTCAGGTATTTCCTTTACTCGGAACATCACGACATTCATAGGTTTTCAAAAAATTCTCTAAAACTCAAAAAACCGACTATTTTTCGTTGAGAAAAGGCTCAAAGGCTCAATTTTATCGCAAAGGATCCAGGAAAAAGATCTTGGAGGCTCTGATTTTGAAAATAATCATCAAAATTTGTTAAAAACTTGAGATCCAAACTAAATTGCCTTCCTTCCAAACTCTAAAGATTTCAGAAGATGGCCTGTTCTTTTCCTGGCTACCGTACTCCTATTCTAATGGAGCCTATCGAACCGACGACGGTTCAATGCCGACTTTCACTAACTGGGCACCAGGTGAATCAAATTGAAGTGATCTTTTAGTCGTCTTATGAATTTCCGTTGCTTTATCAGTGGAAGTCTTATCAGTAATCGTTTGACGGGAAAAGGATGAAAGTTCAAAAAATCACGGGGTCTCCGGAAAAGCTTGGTTATGGTCGTGATGGCCTTTAGCAACTTCGAATTAAAAACTTTCTCTTTTTTATTAATCTTTATTCGATCGAAATAAAGCAGGAAAAAGTGCTTCATTGTTTTCTTGACGATCTTGTTTCCATGTGACAGAAGTTTAAGAAGTTTTTTGGTAAAGACATCAAAATTTTCCGGAACGAACTTTTTCAAAACACTCTCAATTTCCTGCTAGCCTGGGAAAATTTTTAGTGGCCACTATAGGGTTTCGACGTCTTAGTGGCCACTATGGTAGTTAAATTAGTGGCCACTTAAGGGGTTAAAAATTGGTGGCCACTATAAAGGTCTTAGTGCTACTACTGGACTACTTAGTGGCCACTTTAGGGGTCAATGGATCAACATAACTGGTCCAATCTGTTTGTTTTAAAAATTATCAGATTTACTGGAAAGAGTACTGGATGAGAATTTACTGAAGTGGCCCCTAAAACGAAAAATAGTGGCCAATATAGAGGTGGGTTTAGTGGTCACCAAAGTGTCTTCTCAAGTAGTCCTTGGCGAGCCTCTATAGTGGCCGCTAAAAAATTTTCCCAGACTCTCCACTAAAAATGAACGAGAAACTTCAGAATCTTTTTATTTTTCTTTTTAATCTTTTTGCTAGCCGTGTTATTGCCCTCGAGTATTATCAATATTGAAGTAATTAAAATGTCTCTCCTTATACGATTTTTTTCCGTTCTTTCAAGAAGTATTTTCGAACTGAATTCTCATAAAAATCATTCCAAAAAGTCTTATCGATGACATTCATCCAGGGGAACCACGACTCCAAAACGGCTACGCCGTCCAACTCCGCTCCAGTGACGGTCGTTGGACCACCACCACCGTCGACGCTCAAAACAGCGTGATTTGCGCTTTTTCGCCATCATGCGCTGGAAATCAAGGAGCCACGACACCTTTCCCGAGGAACATGACGACTCCACGAATGGGATACACGACTCCCGGACCAACGCCGAGCACCAATCCTTGTCTTGCAAAATACAAAAGTGAGAGTTTGACTTGGTTACGACAGTGGCACTGAAAACTACTAGGCAAAGTCGGAAAGGGCGGGAAATTCTCCACAGAAATGTTCCTTTTTGCTGCCCTTTTGCACCATTTTTGCTTCTTTTCCCATTTTCCAAAAAGTCTTCGTTAGATTTTTTTCGATGTTTTTATTCAATTCGATGGAAGACATTTATTACCTAGTGGATGGAAGATGCACTGAAAGAAAAGGAGAGAAATGAAGAAAAATATATGGTTTGAAACGTATGTAGACGGGTTTCTAGACGGACTCAATACCTGAAATGACATGTTAAAAATGCCTTCAAAAACCCGAAAAATGAAAAAGCTCCATAAAGGATCCTTTTTGCTGACTTTTTGAGTCTCTCCTTCAAACTTTCCCGAGTTGTCGAATAGACCTTAACTTTCAAAAAAACTGAAAGATTTCAGCCATGGTGAACCCTTGCTTGGACGAAACATGGGAGTTCTACCCACGAACTTGCTCCTGCTACAAGGTTACCGTATCAAAAAGTCCAAAATAGTAAAAAAGTTCTAGATAGTGACGGCGACTTATTTCGACGAAGCCCAGTCGACTTGCTACAAGTACAATCCAACTGGCGGCCTGACTTCCATTCACAGTGACGCCGAGGCGATTTTCGTCAGCGGTGAGAAAATTCGGGGGAAAAAGTAACGGTCAGTTCTACAGACTTGGCGATAGCGGCCCAAGGCAAGGACGACTGGATTGTTCGTGGCGACATCCGTGACAACACCCTGATCGGCCTTTTCCGACAAGCGCCCGACTACGTTTGGCGCAACGCCGACGCAACGCCCTACGACGGCTATCCTGGATGTCGCCCTACCACTTCTCCCAACGCCAACTATGCGATCGTCAGTTTTTCTCGGTTCACAGTAACCCCTTGGGCAAAGGCCGCTAAAAGAGATAAGCTCAAAAAAGGCCGCAGAAAGGCAGCAAACCGGCGGCAAAAAGACTGCAGAAAGGCAGAAAAAAGGCAGCAAAAAGGCAGCAAACAGGCGACAAAAAGGCCGCAGAAAGGCACCAAAACGGGTCCCTTTATCGAGCCTTCCATTTTTCTAGGATTTTAAAGAATCATGAAATGGTGGAAAAAGGAGAGGTAGCAAAAATTGTGCATGAGAGCCGATGAAATGGCGCAAAAAGGCAGCAAAAAATGGAGCCGTTGTCACCCTAAAAGGGACACTTCTCTGGAGCCTTTTTCCACCCTTTCCGACTTCGCCTGTGTTCAGAGAAGCCGTCAGAGGGTAAAAAGGATGAGTTTTAAAGAGACAGAGACATACATGGAATATTCTCGATTGGACCTTAAAAGGGGAAGGGAATTTGGCAAAAAAGCGAAAAAAAGAGGAGGGGTTGGCAAAAAAACCGTAAAAAAATTTTCAGGGTGTGCGCTGGACGGCGCTGGTCAATCGAAAATCAAAAATTCCTTTTTAAAGTTCAATTGACTGGCAGAAGCGATTTTTCTCAGTTAAAAAGTGATCGGAGGAAAAAACGCTCTACAATTTCGGATCCAGTACCATCAGATTAGTCTAGTTCGAGCTTTCAATGTTAACTAGTGGGCAATTGGAGATAATATAGAAATCCGTAGTAAATCACTCAAAACTTCCAGAAATAATCAAAAAGGGCAAAAAAACTTCAAACAGTCAGTGTATAATTATTCTCGCCTTTTACATTGATTTTTCTTTGATCTGATTTTATCGATTAAAAACTAACTGAATCTCCATTTTCAGTTGATCACTGCCAATGCGATCGGCTACCGCGGCTTCGGCTCCACCAGCGACACTGAAGACTTCGAGTTCCGTAATGCCGTCTGCAAATATCCGCTTCAATAATTTTTCTGCATAAAAATGAAAATTATCGGCTTGTTCTTCTCTTTTAACGGTTTTCAACCGTTTCTATCTTATTTCTCTCGGAAACCTATTCATGAATTGTTCGATAATGTAAGCAGTTAAGGGTGAAATGTTGATTTTTGGATTTTTGTTCGTTTTGTTATGTTTGAAAGCCGACGCCGATAACGTCTGCCCACCAGATGCCATCATTTCAGGCGATGGTCTGACGTGAGTTTCATTTTTTCGAAAACTTTAAGCTTGAAAATTGCAGGTGCTATACACCGGTGAACATTCAGAAAAGATTGGCAGACTTCTCAGACGATTTGCAGTTTGGTGGGAAGTTTGGCCCTTCCAAGAACGCCATCGACAATGCCGTCATTACCGGCGTGGCTTCAGGTGATTTTCCTTACTTCATGAATTTTCAGTAGTTAGGGTTTTCGAGTCAGTTCCACTCAACGAAATTCTAAAACTATCACTTCAGCCTCACTTTATAGTGCGTTCCCGCGCAGAGACGGTCACGTTTTGAGTTTCTCGTACTTTTGCTAAAGTCAGCAAAAATACAGAGGTCTTGAAGCGTAAATGCTCAATTTTGATATAATTTGGTATGCAGTATTTTGGCGGAAAGGAAAACGTGACAGTACTTGCGCGGAATGGGCTATAACAAAGACCATGCGGGTTCTAAAAATCAGCAATTCTCGACCAAATCATATTTTTCGAGAATTTTTGTTGAAAATCAATCACCATTTCGACTGAAAATCAACCGTCTTCCTGACATCGCCTCTGATTCGAGTGACAAAAGACCAGAAAATTTCGGCTGATGAGTCGACGGTTTGCAATTTGAGAGAGAATTTCAAGGAACGAGAACTGCAGTGAGGAGTCAGGTTCTGTGACACTTTTCCCAGCTACAGTAGATGAGGTTGACGAGTTCAAGAGTTAAAAATAAAAAGAAAAATTCACATTTGAAAAATAATAAAAATCAATGCTCTGACGCAAGCTTTAAAAACAGAAGGACTCAAAAATATCACAAAAAGACCTAATTAAAAGCAAAAAGATTTGAAATCTTGCGAGGATTTTCTTGAGGTTTTCAGAAACTTTTCTACAAAGTGTCTGGATTGGTGGAAAATAATATTGAAAAAGGCAGGAAAAACGGTCATCTAATCTTTGATACAAGCACAACAAAATTACTATTTTGAAAAATCAAACTGAATGACTGGCTCAGGAGCCCGATATCGTCGAGATCCATTTCGATAATATATTTTACGAAAAACTTATTTAAATTTGAAATAATTGATACCTTGCCATGGATTCTGGCCCTCATGAAAATTGATTGGAAAAAATATATCTATTAATCACTTCAATCTAGCGAGTTTTTTCGAAATGAACTCAATAAACGGAACTGTTGAAAGAAAAACCAAATCTGAGCTAACTCGATTGAAGAATTCAAACCAAAACCCTGTTTTCGTGAGAAACCACGTGATTTTTATCAATTCATGATGCTGCGCTGATGCGAGTTTTAGAGCACTGATTCGAGATTTTCAGCTGCCAGTGCTTGTGCGTCCGGCTGGACCTACTGCCCTACACTTGCGCCTGTTACAAGGTCATCATAAATTTTTAATAAATACAACTTTTCAAATTTAGGTTCTCGGTGTTTCCTACTACAGCTCGGCAGAAACGACCTGCCAACAGTTGACCGCCAGAAACTCGCACCTCGCTTCAATTCATTCTGCTAAAAGCCACTTTCGTTGCAGGTCCACTTCCAACATAAATCATAAAATTACGAATGAATTTCTAGACTTGGTTCGCTTCAACACTACAGTGGATTAGGCTTCCACGGAAATGCACAAGATAATGCCATCATCGGCCTTTATAATGGTGCTTGGGCTGATCATACTGAATATTCGGACAATGAAATGCGCCCGATTTACGCCCCTGGCGGTCAAAGCGGCGGACTTTATGGCCAGGTGAACAAAAATCAACTAGAACCATTAAAAAATATTCAACTTTCAGATTATCACCTTCGATCCACCTGGCTACTACAGCTACGTTCAAACTTACGACTGTCAGAACAATGCTTGTCGCAACGCTGTTTGCAAATACTTCTTATGAATAATTTAATCGTCTTTTTCATTGAAAATAAATTCGAAAAGATCCGTGAGATAACACAAAGAATGAACTGCGAAGAAACATATTTACAAATGGTACGAAAACGCGAGTTTTCTGTTTTATTGCTAACATTGGAAAGCCAACGAAGCTCCGCGTTTCTTTAAATGATAATGGAATCTGTGAGTCTTAATGCCGTGTTCAATTTGATTTCGCGAAATGCAAAATGATCTCTGAAGTCAGAGCTCTGACTCTTCAAAATTGAGTGATCTTTTCCTTTCTGTAACGGGTATTTTGCATTTCGCGGAATCAAATTGAACACGGGATAAGTTTAAAATCTGTGATGAGCTTCTCAAAAGTACAAATTAAGAAACGTTTAAAACCACGGAGCGAAAGGCAACAGGAGAGCGGATTAAGTACGAAAAAGAAGAAGCAAATTCGAGCATCCAAGTCCAAGGTTGTCAAATTCAGAGCGTAAAACAGACCCGTGTTCCAATATTCCGTTAAAAAAGTTTGAACCAAGACTTCATCCATTTTTCATTTTTATAAATATTAAAAAAGACATTAGGAAGAGTAATTCTACAATAAGAAATAGAGAAAAATCGAGAAATGAACCAAAAAAAAAGGTTTAAAATCATGCAAAAATCAATAATAAATTAAAAATTTGAAAAGTTTTATTTTCGTGTCGAGACTATTAAAGTTTTCTCCGATGTCGTAACTTGGAATGTTGTAATATAATAATGTCCATTTTATAGAATTGCGTTTTCAAAAAAATTTCGTTTTAGTTGTTCAAAGTTATTTCGCGATATACGCTAAACTCATCCAGTATTATACGTACTATGTCGCAGAAAAAAAAAAACCGCATGCTGCAAAGCTGCGACTCGCAACCGTCTTGCGCTAAATCTCTGATCTAGAAAAATCTAGAAAAATCTTATAGAGAGCTATAGCGGTTTTTTTTTCAATTCTAAAGTTTATCAAAAATAAGCAATCAGGTAGCAAGATTTTGATGAATCTTACGTGAATTTTTTTTTCGATCTGCTCCATTCACATGAGCTTGACGGCTGACAAAGTTCCGCCAAGTGATTAAATTTTCGGAATTGATTCGAAGAAAGGTTTCGAACGCTTTCCATATAGACCACCCGACTTCAAACCGTCTCGAGATTTAACACAGTTTTCCATTTCAGAATGATCTGCAATCTGGGAGGAAAAAAAACACGACGGCGACGTCGTGCAAAAGCATCAAGACGAAAAGCGTCAAGAAGATGCGCAAGAAGAGAAGCAAGACAGACGCGGCGGCGCCGTTGTCTGGCGATCAAAGCAATCACAGCAGCATTCAGTCCTCCTCGCGTCGTCAGCACGCTGTGTTCGTAAAAACGGTCTCATTTCGTTCTCATAATTTCGTTTCCAGAGGTTCCCATCAGGCGGCGCCGATGGGATCTCGTTTGAGCAACATATCGAACGGCTCGGCTCCGCCGCCAGCTTCAGCCGGGGCAATGGCGGTCGTTTTGGACGGGAGCGCATATGATCCGTTCAAGGCGCAACCCTCTAGGGGCTCGGCGGAAACATCCTCCAGACACAAGAGAAACACGGCGAAAAACAGTCATGTCAAGCAGCGAAAGCAGACTTTTGGGGATCACGGTGATTTTCTGACAGCGCTACAAAATCTTTTTGAAAATTTTTTCTTCCTAAAAAAATCAAATGTTTTCAATTAGTTTACGAAAAGTTGTTCTTTGAATCCGAGCGAAAATTTCAAGTCGAATTTTCCTTTTTTGCACCCGTTAAGAGTTACCATACTCTGAAAACTGGACTTTTGAGTGACCTCAATGCGTTTGGTCGTTTCGGCGGTTCCACAAAAAGAAGTTATGAATAAAATGGTCGTCAAGGTCAAGGAGCGAAAGCAAAAGGAGCCGAAAAAACCAACTGTTACAGAAGTTTGCTTCGATTTCAAGAAAAAACTTCTGAAAATCCTTTTATTCTCATTCAGGCGGATCCCAAATCTTTGATACTGTTGGATATGCCGCGTACGAACCGCTCATTGAGATTGAGTGTGACAAAAACAGTGAGAAAAAAAATTTATTTTGAAATGAGGAAAAGTTTTTCTCAGGATGACGCGATGGAACAAAAAACGAGAGATCCAAAGAGAGAAAAGCAGGCGAATGAGAAAATTAAGGCGTTGACGGTTTGTGATCAAAAATTTCAGAAGTTATTCGCAGAAAATTGAAACTTTTGGTCATTCTTTCAGATTATTTGTTGTATTTTAGTGGCTCTTTCTTTTTTTTTATCTTTTTTGATGGATTTTTTTGTCAAAGGCCTCTACGGAGGAACGAGTGGCCGACGAGGACGGATTTATGCTGCAAATTGTGCGAAATAACGAAAACAATGGCATCCTGTTTCTGGAGCCTTTTTTCGATCCTTTTTGGTCGAACCCCATGGAGCCGAGTGATGAGGATTTGGTATTTATTTTTTTGATAATCTTGAGAAAAGCTTTTTTAAAAATAAAAAGACATTATTGTGAAACTTTTCTTTTATGGAACAGACCGGTATCGAACCTACTTGAATTATGATAAGAAATAACGCTTGATAAAAAGATTTCGTGATTTTTACTTTTCTGAAAACTTTTTTTAATTTATTATTAAAGGATTCTTATCAAATTGAGAACAAAAACAGGGTCGTCGCAAAAAAAAAAACTGATTTTTCTGAATTTTTCCCTATTTCACTGGTTTCTTCTAGTTTTGACGTTCAAATCTATGTGTGCATTAAAATGTGCCTCAGAAAAGTTTTAGAGTTTGCGAAAATTTGTTAGTGGTTCCAGTTTGCGATAAAAAAAAAGGAAAAAGCCCTCAAGGTTTTGATTGAAACTTCCGTATACTCTAGCACAGAGGTGGAGAAATGGCGCCCCTAAGCGTTTTCAAACGTTTACATTTCTAAACCGACGTAGGCCGCCATGGCCATTTCTTAATAAGTCGCTGCCCAGGGCGCCCGGGGCCAAAACCGCGATGGCAAAAAACGCCATTGGAAGAAAAAGAACGCGCAAAAATTGAAATCTTCTAAAATCTTGTAAAATCGTTGTTTTCGAAGCTTTAAAAAAAGGTTTTTTGAATTTCCAATTTGGTGGCGACGTAAATTAATTCTTTCACTAGTCAGCGGGTTCGTAATCATAAATCTGGAGCATTTCGCCTAAAGAAAAGAACAAATATAACCGTACTTCACATAAAAAATTCAACTGGACATCGTATCCACTGAAAAAAATTAAAAAAATTATTGAAAAAAATTGCGAAATCTACGATTTAATGAAAAAAATTAACAAAAATGACCGTTTTCGCCCTACTTTTGAAACGTGGTATTATACGCCATCGACACATAATGACGCGGCTCATTTCTTCTCAAAGGCCTGATGGCTGAGGCGGGCATGTTGCGCCCGGGAGGGCCCCTCATTTCTTCCACCTCTTCCACCTCTAGCAGGACTTTGAAATTTTTCGGAAAAGCTGCACGCTTTTAAAAATTTTAGAACTCACCTTTTCATTAAAATGCATTATTTCCTACTCAAAAAAAACAACATTCCAGTTCATTAAAAAAAAAGTATGGGAACATGTTCATAGCCATTTAGGTGAAAGCTTCTCGAAAAATACGAGTTTTTAAAAACATTTTGTCCCGTTTAAGGCCCGTGACGGCATTGACGAAGGTCCCAGAATCGATTCTGAACTTTTGACCGAAGTTCTCACAGGCCGCGTGGGTCTAACCGCCATGCCCAGTACTCCGTGAGCATCGAGAAAGAAATTCGGAAAATAAAAATCTATTTTTCAGGATATTGTTGGATCCCACTGCGCCAACGACTGAACTGTGCGCCCGGGACAACCTTTTCTTGGAAGATATTGTCTTCAGCAACACAATCCGAAGCGTTGTCAATACCAATGATGGTTTGAAATAACACTTTCAACGAACCAAGGTCTCAGCTCACAGTGAAAATTAGGCTCATTAGTTAAGATTTTCATCGAATTATGCTCTTAAAAATCACTGTGGAGGTTTGTAAAATGTTGAATTTTTGAACAGAAAGTCTATAAAGTTATGAATTATCATCGTAGATTTACTAATCACCCAAAACTTCACAAAATTAAGGAAATGAACTCCCTTGGAAGCACTTCAGTGAGTGGAGAAGATTTTGAAAACAAATTCGAAACTTTAGGACAAGTTTTGAGTCCGAATCCATAGTGAGGGGAAAAATTTTGGAATTTTTTTTTCTAGCCCTCCTAGGATGTCCTAATGTGAACTGTGACCATGTCTTTGTGAAAAAACACAAAAAACTTCCTTCCAGAGCTTCCTCAGATAACCAAAGAAGTGAAAAGACGTCAAGACGACGAAAATGCGCCGCCATCCCTTGAAGCCTGCGCTCTATTCGACATTCCCGAAAAAGCATATGTCTACTCGGTGAAAATAATAACACTTGTCCGAAATATTATTGTATTTTTTCAGAGGAACGACCCGATCGGGAGCTCCCGTTTGAGACAATCTGTGAACCTCGCACCGAAGAACGCTTAAAGTTTCCACTTCAATAAATGTACTTTGACTTTCGAAAGTCCGTGACAAATAAATGCGATATTCGCTTTCCCTTTTTTTGTGTACTGTAATCTACACTTCTGTGAATCTTCACAGATGCGGCGTTGGCATTTTATCTCACGACTTTTTTCAATAATTTTGTTCCGATTTTTTATTATTTTTTTTCTGAAAGATAAGTGAATTGGAGGAACGGTCTTGGATTGGAAAAATTCGAGCCAATCATGTTTTTTTGACACACAAGCCCTTTCGGTTGTTTTTCGATTATAATCTTTTTTTCGTTCAAAAATTTTGAAGTGTAAAAAATTTCCTGTTGACTTGATTCTTCGTGTCACATGTCAGAAAGTCAAATGTTTTTTTCGCCAAACGGTTATCTTTAAAAAAAGGCTGTTGAATTGTTTTTTTACCAACTGTTTAAAAATAAAAAAATAAATACGTGTATACGCTTTTGAATACAGGAAGTTTCAGAAATATTTTTTTATTTTCCTTCTTTTCACTCCTTTCTACAAAAAAACCTCACCTCAACGCTTTACTGATGCCGCTACAAAACCTGGTAGCGAAAAGTAAGTTTTCCAAACCTTTTTCTGCGTTGTTCCGATGAAATCTCTTCAGAAATCTTTGAGGATGTCATCCGACCATTAAAAACGGACGAAAATGGGAAACAGCAATGGAATGTGCTGGTTTTGGACAAGTTTTCGTCGAAAATGGTTTCTTGTTGCTTGAAAATGAGCAATTTGACTGAGGGTTCGCACTAATGAAAATCTGGAAGATTCATTTTTGGTTTCAGAAAATATTTCAACAGTGGAGGATTTGCACAAAAAACGGCAGCCGATTCGAAATTTGGACGTTATTTATTTAGTCTCACCAACGGCTGAATCGGTTTTTCATGTTGAAAAAAATTGGGAAGAAATTCTCATGCAGAAAGTTCTCGAACATTTTTTTCGTTAAAGAAATTTCTAGATTTCAATTTAAAGATTGAAGCGTTCAAAGAATTGAATTCAATGAGAAAAATGTGTTTCAAGAGGGCAATTTTAATCTGAAAGCTTCAAAGAACTCTAAAAAAATAAGAAAAAGTTTTATTTTCATTAACTTTTTGAAACGTTCGATGAAGTTGAATCACTGCTGCAAAAAAATCATGAAATCATTATATTTAAAAAAGTTCCTTTCAAACAAATAGACACAAAAGAGATCAGTGGGATTTTCTTCCGTCCAAACTTGAGAAATATGTGAAAATTTTCATTTTTTTCAGATAAAAAAATAATAAATGACGATTTCCACCCGATGGCCAAGTACAAAAAAGCTCACATTTTTTTCACAACACCTTGTTCGGACACTTTATTTCGAAAATTGGCTCAAAGGTTATAAATTTCTTGCTGTGTTGTTTAAAGGCGCAGAGATAAAGGTCTCGAGAAGAAGAGCCATTTTTAGTCATTTGGGGCCGCGCCTTTAAAAAACGCAGAATGAGTATTTATAATACAATAATTTTCCAGCCGCGTTTCAAGCTTCATCAAAACGCTAAAAGAAATCAATTTGGCGTTTCTACCCGTTGAGAGCCAAGTTTACACGAAAATTATTTTACCTTAAAGACAAATTTCTCAGGTTTTCTCGCTTAATTTACCTGAAGTCTTTCCGTCGTTCTTTGGTAGTCAACGGTCCCCGAAATATCGAGCTCCGAAATTTGATGAGAAACTTGGAAAAATGGCCGAACAAATTGCGACTTTGTGTGTTTTGTTGGAGGAATATCCGGCCATCAGGTTGTGTTTTTGTCATAATCTGATGACGAAATCTTTAAAGGCGCAGAGATTAATACACAAAAGGGTACTAACGCGAAATTTTCTTCATGCGCCTTATAGGACTTCGGAATAATTTTTTGAAGAAAGAAACTTGAAAAAACCATTTTTTTTACGATGGAGAAGTTTCATTTCTACCAGAAAAAATTCCATACATCTTGTCTCTGAAATTTTTTTAATGGAAAAGAAACTCTACCGAAAAATCATGCATTTTTTTCCCGAACAATTGATCAAGTTGTGAAAAAAATAAATTTCTTGACCGTCTTAGATATTCGAATTTTTTTCAGAAAAATTGTTCTTTTTCATCATGGTCAAAGCCTGGAAAGTTAATTTTTTTCTCTTTTTACCTTGGAGATTTTTAGTAAGAAGAAGTATTCCAAAATGAAGTACGTTTCGAAGGAATGATTTAATCTCCGTTCAAAGTTTTATTTAATGGGCGGTCAATTTTTTAACTTTATTAATGATTCCAATCATAGCTGGACCCCTCTATTTCTTTCAGTTTCTTCATAAAAATTGAGAAGGCTTTCTTGAGTTTTTAAAAGCACATGTTAGTTTCAAGACCCTCTTTGCGCCTTTAAAAATTTTCAAAAAATTCCAGATGCCGCCGATTATGCGATAATAACATTGAGTTATGTATTCAAATCGAGGAAAAGCTTCAGAATTACAAAAAAGACTACCCGAATATGGGAAAAGGCTACGAGAAATCCAGAAGCCAACTGATTATCGTTGGTTTGTTTTACTGGACTCGATTCAAAAAATTTCGTAAAAGTTGAATTTTGGACCCTTTTTAATCTCTTTTTGAGCTCGAAATTCCGATTCGTATTGAAAAATTGGGTCCAATTCAATTACTTTAAAAAAAATTTCAAGTTTTTTTCTTTTTTTCACACAATTTCTTCTGAAAGTTTGAAGATTTTTTTCAGAAATCAATGGTAACTTTAAATTTTGAATAGATATCTCATTTTCTTCTAGAGCTCCTCAAGATTCCAACAAAATGGGTCTCAAAAAGAAAAAGAGAAACGGTCGAACTTTCCAGACCGCGGATTCGATTTCATCACACCTCTTCTCCACGAAATGACTTACCAGGCCATGGCTCAAGATTTATTAACTTTGAATGAAGACGTCTATACTTTTTGTCAATGATAGAGGAGTCAAAAAGGAGGTTCAAATACACTGAAAATTGAAAAAATGCTCTTTTTCAGTCAATTTTGGACGAAAATGACCCGATTTGGCTGGCAATGCGCCATAATCACATCGCCGTCGTATCTGCTCATGTTTTTAATCCTCATTTTCATTTTCCAATCATTTGAATTATTGTCAGGTCGGCTCAAAAATGAAGGAACTCCAAGGAAGGGAAGTGGCCAAGATGAAGTCAGCGAAAGTCAAGGAGATTTCGAATATCATGAAGAGTTTGCCGGCCCATCAGAGAATCGTCCAGAATTTCAGGTTTCTTTCATTTCAATGTGAACAAAGAACACGTTTTTCTTTTCAAAGCGCATTTATTAAAGCAACAAAAACCCGAGTACAACTGTGAGAATACAACGAAAATGTACAACTGAACAATAAATTATGGAATTTGCAAGTTAGTCGACCTCCTCGACGGTCGGTCCAGCAGGGTAGTTGGCGTTGGAGAAGCCGGCGGCGCCGGGAGTCCCGCAGGAGCCCTGCGACTGCTGCGACGACTGCTGGTGGAGCTGCGTCATGAGCGACTGACAGACGCCGCGGAGTTCCTTGTCGCGAGCCTCGATCTCTTCGCGTTCGGCGAGGCTGTTGGCGTCGAGCCAGCGGAGCGTCTCCTCGCAGGCGTCGCGGACGCGACTCACGTCTTCGGCCGGCAACCGGCTGCCGTGCTCGTCCAAGGACTGCTTCACCTGGAAGGCGTAGGCCTCGAGCGAGTTGCGCGACTGGACTCGTTCGCGTTGCGACGCGTCTTCTCGCTCGAACTGCTTGGCCTCGGCGACGAGACGGTCGATGTCGGCCTGGGACAGACGGCCCTTCTCGTTGCGGATCGTGATTCGGTTCTGCTTGCCGGTCGACTTGTCCTGGGCGGAGACGTTCAGGATGCCGTTGGCGTCGATGTCGAAGGTGACGTCGATCTGCGGGACTCCGCGAGGAGCTGGAGGGAATGCCGGAGAGCTCGAAAGAGGCCCAGCCGGTGGTTGTCGCGAGTCATGGCACGCTCTCCTTCGAAGACTTGGATCGAAACGCCTGGCTGGTTGTCGGCGTAGGTAGAGAAGGTCTTCGTGGCACGGCAGGGAATCGTAGAGTTGCGGTCGATGAGGTTAGTCATGACGCCTCCAGCAGTTTCGATGCCGAGGCTGAGCGGAGCGACGTCGACGAGAAGGACGTCTTTGATGGCCTGGTCCTGTACTCCAGAGAGGACTGCGGCTTGAACGGCTGCTCCGTAGGCGACGGCTTCGTCAGGATTGATGGAGCCGTTGAGCTCTTTGCCGTTGAAGAACTCCTTGAGCAGCTTCTGGACCTTCGGCACGCGAGTTGAGCCTCCAACGAGCACGACTTCATCGATCTTGGACTTGTCGAGCTTGGCGTCGCGAAGAGCCTTCTCCACCGGCTCCAGAGTCTTGCGGAAGAGGTCGGAGCAGAGTTCTTCGAAACGAGCACGAGTGATCTTGGAGCAGAGGTCGACGCCTTCATGGAGAGAGTCCACTTCGACCATGGCTTCGGCGGAGCTGCTCAACGTCCGCTTTGCACGTTCGCAGGCGGTTCGGAGACGTCGCATCGCTCTGCGGTTCTTGCTGATGTCCTTGCCGGTCTTGCGTTTGAACTCGGCAACGAAGTGGTCGACCATCCGCTGGTCAAAGTCTTCTCCTCCGAGATGAGTGTCTCCAGCCGTGGACTTGACTTCGAAGAGAGATCCTTCGGCGATGGTGAGGACGGAGACGTCGAAGGTGCCTCCACCAAGGTCGAAGATGAGGACGTTCTTCTCGCCGACGAGGTTCTTGTCGAGGCCGTAGGCCAGAGCGGCAGCAGTCGGCTCGTTGATGATTCTGATTGCGTTGAGGCCGGCGATCGTGGCAGCGTCCTTGGTGGCCTGTCTCTGGCTGTCATTGAAGTAGGCAGGGACTGTGATGACGGCGTCGCGGACTTGGTGGCCCAAGTACGTCTCGGCAGTCTCCTTCATCTTGCCGAGCACCATCGCACTGATCTCCTCGGGATTGAAGGTCCTTCGTTCGCCCTTGACTTCGGCTTGGATGACTGGCTTGCCGGCGCGGCTAGTCACAGCGAACGGAAGATGTCTGAGGTCGGCCTGGACTGCTGGATCATCGAACTGACGGCCGATGAGTCGTTTGGCGTCGAAGACGGTGTTCTCCGGGTTTCTGGCGGCCTGGTCCTTGGCGGCGTCTCCGACGAGTCTTTCGGTGTCGGTGAAGGCGACGTAGGAAGGCGTCGTCTTGTTGCCTTCGGAGTTGGCGACGATCTCGACTTTGCCGTTCTGATAGAC